AAGCTTCAGTGCCTTGAAAAGAAAAATCAGCGGCAACTCAAACATTGTCATTTTTACCTGGATAAAATACGGTCAAGTAGTTCACCACCTTCACATAATCTGACAGAAAACATAAATCCGTACTTTAGAATACAAATTCCCACAAATTGGAAGAATCCGGCCTATAGCTGCTTGTCAGTATATTTCTGCCAGTCTAGTTACATAACATAGCTCACATTCATAAGCTTCGGCTTCTGGGAACCCACACGCAGAAGGAGACAAACAAAAAGGAAGTTTGGAAGATGCTAGATCCATGATTTCCATGGCATAGCTATTAAAGCTGAAGATTGAAACAAAGATGCACGTACTCCATGACTATGTAGACATTGTTGTTGTCTTCAAATGCATCATGAAATCTAATGAGGTGCTTGTGTCCTGCTAATCCCTTTAATATTTTCACCTCTCGACGAACGTCTTCAATTGCTATCGCTGATGTCATCTGCCAAAAACCGCTCATTCAGTTTCATCCGTGCTCAGGTTAAAATGCTGTGCAACAGGGATTGGGGGGAGGGGTGAGGGGTGACAATTGTGGCCCACTTATTCAACTTTAATTGAGTCCGAAAATCCAGATTAAATTACAACACGATTTCAATAGAGAAGTATTGGAATTGAAACGGTCCAACAACCACCTGATTATGATGTTTCAGCACAGGTATCTTATATCAGGAACAATTTTCTCGCTCTAGAGTCTAGTGTCCTGGTCGTGCAAAAAGCTATGCAGCAACTATACATATTGTCCCTTCATCTTGACCAAGTGTCTACATTTATATATGCTCTATTTAAAGGCAGGTACAATCAACCAAGAAGAACATACTTACTACACCTCTATCTTTCAGTAACCGGTTTTGGTTTCTAACTCCTATCATTCATTACTTCCAGTTTAACAGAAAATAAATCCTTAGCCTAAGTGGTCAGCTCTATTTTTTAGCATCCATGCTCATCTTTCTTGCGATTATGTGGTACATCCAAACCTCTCCGGAGGAACAGTCTCCTTCGATCTGTTCTAAGATTTAGCCAACTCGGTAAATTAGGGTTAACGTTCTCCTTCCTCTTTTGAAGATCGCCTTTGAAACTGATGAATATCCTCACCATTTCAGGAAACCTTCACCTCAGCGATGCTCTCGAGTTCATACTATCAAACCAACATATTTAGAGCTACTTCTCTGCTTCTGTTTCTCAAACAAGCAAACTCGATAAACCTCAGATCATACATTCGTCAATTGTCATCCTCAAGCATCACTGACTTGCCCTCTTGCTACTGACCAAGTGGTCACCAAAAGCACTTCAGTCAGCTTGGTTTTCTTCCTTTTCTACAAGCTGACCAAATAACACAATCAACAGCGACTACCTTGTACTTCTAAATTTAAAATCATAACATGTCCGCTGCCGAAAGTACTCAAACTCCTATGAGCTATGCCATTTGCTATGGAAAGTTCAATCTGCGGCTATGCAACTCCCGCATTGTAGTCAAGGAACACTGCATGTTTTGAGGTCCCGCCCAAGCATGACTACTCAAACTCTTATTCAATCTAAGTGTACCTTCTGCTGCTTAGGAATTCCCGCTGAACTGATCGGAGAATTCTCTCGAACTAGACGAGCATAATTTCCCCGAACAACAGAACAGATTGACAATCGATTCACCTTACAGCTAGATTCAAACAACGACGACGACGACAGCAGAGAAATGCCGCTGAGCTGTGAACTGTTCATAGCAGTAACACATACCACACACCTTAGCTTTCGAAATGATCTTCACGGCCACATTCTGACCCTTGAGCTCTCCTTTCCTTCCCTTAGCCCAGCACGTATGACCAAAATGGCCCCGCCCCACCTCCTTCCCGAGCTCGAACCTCGCAACGAAGTTCTTCGCGTATCCAAAGCTCTTATCCAGGGGCGGCTCCCCCTCCCCCTCCACCGCCTGCTCCTCCGCTATCGGCCCCTCCTTCGGCGCGCCCCGGCCACGCCGCTTCGCGATCAACGACATGATCGGCCTCGCCGGGGACGGCGGCGGGAGCGGCCACCGGAACTTCCGCAGCGGTGTCCTCGCCGGCGACGGGGACGCCGCCACCCCGGCGGGCAGCGGGCTCGGGAACGGGCTCCCCGCGAGGTAGCTCACCTCCCCACCCCGCCCCCGCCCCCTCCGGCAGATCGCGCGGGCGACGCCGCGACGGCCGCCGCCGGGAGCGGCGACGGCGGCGGCTTCGGCCGCTCATCGGTCCGGCCGTCCGCGGGCGGCGGGGCCGCGTAGCCGGCGGTGGCGACGGAGCTCTGCTTGCTGCAGCAGTGGCCCATCGGCGGAATGCCGCGGGGGCGCGCGCGCGCGACGGCGATCGCCCGGGGGTCAAACGATCGGAGCCGCCGGAGCCTCTCCCGCAGAAGAGAGAGAGACGGAGTAGCGACGACGGTGTGTGACGAAAAGGCAGTTGAACTTGAAAACCGGTTTGATCAAGAGAGCAAGAAGAAGACGCAATATAAAAGCTGCGCGAGGGTGGGAGGGAGGAGAAGTCGTCCCCTGGATCTGGCGTCACGGCCGCATCACACTGACGCGGCAATCACAGCCGTCGGTTCGGGAGACCGCGCCGCGCGATCGGCCGGTCAACGGCGCGCCGGCCGGGGGGGACAGGGCGGTCAACCCCGCGGGAGGTGTCGAGGGTGAGCCGCGAAGCAGGGGATAAAACCGGAGCGGAGAAAACGCGTTAATATTCAAAAGGAAAGGGAGGGGGGGGGTGTGGGGGTTGGTTTTCGTTAATTTCATAATTGGTCTTTGCGCTGCGGCTCGTTCAAACGAAGAAAGAAAGCGAAGCGAGGCGAAGGAGGAAATGCTCGTTCAAAACGGGGCGTTGGTCGGTCGTTTCGGACGTGTCGTCGGCGATTTGTTTAATCCCTCCCCCACCCCCCCTCCCCTAATCGAATGCATCGCGGCTTGATTTCAGCGTGTCTTGTCCGAACGATGCTTGCGTGTGGACGCTTGCGGGGGGGACTTTAGGGTTTAGACGGCTGACGGATGGAGGGAGGGTGGCGGGGGAGGTCCTGAGAAGAAACAAGAGTTTTAGGTCACCGAACCCCACACCCTGGACTGCCCTTTGAAAAACGGGGAGCCGACCGCGGCTCGGGTGACCAAAGAGACGACCCCCCACCCCGGGTTTCTAGATGAGAGCCTCTCGACCTCTCGCCCGAGCCCGACTCGCCCGTGTTAGCGCGGTATCGGATTATATGGACTTCGGGTGGGACCCATCCCATTTAACTATGACCAGGAGGCGGGGCCCTCCTGTTTCTGGATGCGATTTTCCGTCGGGTTCCCGAGTTGGACAGGGCGGTTCCGTTTTTTTTCCAAATCGGGAATGAGTCGGTTCGCCGGACTCCGGAATTGCAAATACCGCCCCGGATTCTCATATTCGTTTTTAACATGATTCGTTATTTAATATCGGGGTACTTGCAATTTCTGGAAATATATGGATGATGTAAAAAAATTTCTAGGAATTGTATGTATTTTCGAGAGTTTTAGGGAAAGCACAAAATAATTGTGCTAAGACAAGTAGACCTCGGTCTTTTTTATTGTCGGAATTATCTTTTAACCAGGATTTATTATACAATAACGTGCCTTCTGCATTATTAAAAAAAAAAAAAACGGGTGCCTATTAAAATGGGAAACCCGTTTCTTATGACCTCTTCTGTTTTTATGGTCAAACCGTTTTGTGTTCTTTTTTTTATACGACTTCACAAAACATAAAGAAAAATACAAAATGAAAAAAGAACGTTCGATTTTTTCTGAGGATTTCCCTTTTTCTTCTCGCTCGGTGCGACAATGATCCTAGGATTTTCATATGAATCCGTTTTTTAATCACGGTTTTAATAAATAATAAAATGCTATTAATCACATTTAATGCGGGGGAGCGTTAACAGGGCTTTGGGACATCTAGAGAGGAGAGGATCCGGCGATTTGGTTGTTCTGAGGAACGAATACCGAAATGCGACGTCATTGATATCATCGCATGGTTAAAATAGGGAAAAATGATTCGAATGATATTCTGAATTTTGACTCAACGTGTAATATCGTTCCTGAATTTTTAATTTGTTCAATACGGCTTATGAACTTGGGCTAGATCGAACACGTATTAGAAGCTGAGAGACGACATTGAACAAATTAAAGTCGAGAAATTATATTGCATATTAAACTAAAATTTAAGAACTATTTATATAATTATTCCTTAAGTTATCAACTTGTCAAAAATTCAAGTAGGAGGTAGTACGATGAGAAGGTGTTTGTACTTTTTGGTTGCCTAGTAGGTTTAGGTCTCATAATCAACTCCAAGAATATCCAGAAACATATTGCCAAAATGAGTATTAGTGATTTAATGTCATTATGAGGATAAAGGAGAGCTGTGTCAACAATGCTTCTGGAGATTTTATAAGCAACGCTCCGGCCATGTGGTTGTTTGATGCAATCAATACTCAATTGAAAATATATTAGGTATGGTGCGATTCACATATATTATAGCTATTGCGCTCATGGTCAATTTTACAACCGAAGTCGTACCAATTATTACGTGCCCACCCACTTGATGGTCGTAAATGACCTGTCATGCATATGATCAGTACGACAACTAAAGTTGTGCTAATCATAAAATGCAAAACCTGCTTGCTCTTCGCTATGAACTGTACGGAATACAGCGTCCCTCTCCCTCCTCTCTCTCTCGATGATAAAATGGTACGAGATCAAGTAGGAAAATAGCAACGAGCCCCGACACAATAACGAAAATCATCAAACTCAACTGAAATCGCTACAATTTAAAATCAATAGAAAATGAAATTAGGTGGGATCCAAATGACCCAAGATAAGCATGCCTTAGCCTTAGGCTATTATCGAAAAGAAAAAGCAAAACCACGCTTCCAAGGCGACGTCGTTTTGCGCAAAAGAACAGCGAAGGAAGCCAAGAGGAGCCCCAAAATTGGAAGCGAAACGACGCGACACAGAGAGAAGAGGAGAGAGAGAGAGAGAGGAGGAAAAATGGGGTACGTGCTGCGGGTGAGAATGGCGTCCTTCTTCGCCGGAGCAGCGACGGCGTCCTTCATCGGCCTCTACATCCTCCACAACGACTACAAGGCCGCTCAAGAATCCCTCTCCCGCCAGGTAGTTCAATCCTCCGCCGCACCCTAATCCCCTCCCCCCGCGCTTTCTTCTAGGGCTCCGTCCGTATCCGCCGCGCTACGATCGAGTCGCGGCCTGCGCCGTTGCGCACCGCTGTTGTGCTGTTGCGTGAATCCCGTTGCGTTGATCCCTCTTGAAGTCAGATTTCGCCACGTTCGTAGGTCGCCCCGATCGTTGGAAACGACCCCGTTGCGAGAGCTTTTAGAATTAGGGTCCCGTCCGGGAATTCGAGCTCTCGTGATGGAACCCATTGCACGCACGAGCCAACGGGTTGGCTCGCATTTGGCTTGATTAGGTGCAAAAGGGTCTGGTAAGAGAGGATGTAGACCTGAAATTGAGAAGAGAATGGGAATGGTCTTTGTTAATTTGTACTGATTTTTCGTGAGCCGAGGACCGGTGACTAGCTGCCCGCCGTTCTTGGGCTGCTTGGGAATCTGGTTTTTTCATTCGGGAGCGAGTGGTGGTGGTGGTGGCTGCAAGGGAGGGATAATGAGTTTTGTCTAAAGTTCTCCGGTGAATGTGCTGCGAACGATCAGGATTAAGAGGCTTGGGCATGATAAGGATTTCAGATTCGGGTGGCAATTAGGATTGTCTCGTTGCTCGTTGAGCGTGCAAAATGAGACCAATGCTGAAGCAACCGGATGGAATTGTATTTCTGGAAAGAAAATTGATGAGCTGTTTCTCTTTTTCGGTTTTCTCGAAGCATGTAAAACTGTGGGACGTATACATTAGTGTTTCTTTGCTTATTTTTCACTCTCTTAACTAATCTGGTAAAGTATTTGTAATTTGCATGTGTTTCCAACCGTTGTCTTAGTTGTTTAGGTCTCAATTGATACCGTTGTCTCTTTCAAAAATAAATTTCTGGGATTTATGTGGTGAGCTTTGAATTCCTTGAGTGGTGCCTTAAACCTGTATTGTTTCTACTCCATCTACATTTTTAGCCTATATGTAAAAGTGATTTTCTTTATTCTGAACTATGAGTAAGAACTAATGATCTAATCCTTCTTACTTCCTAGACCTCTCCCCATTAGAATGGAAATTGCACCGCTTACTAATTGCTTTTCCCTTATCGAAATGAATTGACCCCTCTGCATAAACGTAGATCGTAATTTGTTTTCTACATGATTCTTCTTTTGACCTTAAGAACAAACCAAAAGTTGCTGATGTTTTCCGGTGTTTGTGAGTGGCTTCATGGGTGGTGGAAGTAGGATGATCTGATTTACAAAAAACTGGAAATTCTGACGAGCTACAAGTGCCATAAGAAAATATTGGACTTTAGTGATCTATCTTGGTTTCCTTGTGCAGGATCTTTTCAAACTTCTTTCCTTGCTACTTTTGTACTAGTGTTGTTGGAAGCTAGATAATATACAGTTGCTTCGAGAGAGACTATTAAGTAGAACCTACCATGCATACGATGAGAATTCAGTGGAAGTATAGATCCTGGAGGTGTTTCTCTCTGGAGTTAATCTGTTTGAGGATCTTCATGGTTGTTCTATCACAAAGCATTGCATGATCTGTGTTAATGAGATTATCTTATATTCTTTCTACTGCTGGACGTTGTTAATCCTGTGGAAGTTGGTAGATACAACTGATGTTGAAGGCAGTCTATTGTGTGATGATTATAGGTTGCAAAAGCAGGTGTGTGCTTGTCTCACGGGTGATTATTTTTGTTTATTCTTCTATTGCAGATGAAAGGGCTTCACGCTTCACTGGATAGACGAATTTCCGATCTGGAGAAGTTGAAGCAAGCCAATGCTTCGGATCACGCGGAAGCAACTGAGTAGATCCCTGAGTCATCTTCTTGGTGTTGATGTGCTGCCCTCATTTTTTTTTGTGTTGCTATGTACTCACTAGGGCAGTGCCTTTCCAGTCCTTTCTGAAATCTTAGCCCCCATAAGAAGAAAAAAGAGAATAACAGCAATCAAACCAGCCCTCTACTGAGATCAATTGACGGTTGTTTCTTGCAAGACTTTCGTCCAGTTTTTTGATTTGGTAGGAGTGTAGTTGTTGTGCAATCAATTTTCAAGTGCACTAAATCATGCTGCCTTTTCTATTTGCAGCAATCATAGATTTTGCTCCTTAGTTCTTCAAGTTCCGGACTTAATTATTTTGTCTTGACCATTTTGGGTTGGCTCCATTCTTCATGTTCGAAAGTGAATTTTCGGATCGACTGTATAGTTGAGATGGTCGACGAAATTAAGCAGGAAAGTTTGTTTGTGGTACAGCTTTGAAAGACTTGATATGCTTTCCTTAACGTGCACGCAGGATCCAACAAGCACAAGCAAATAGTAACCTCGCTTTGTGACTTTGTGAGCTTGCCAGTGCTTTATTCTTCACCTTCGGATTGCTCAAGAAGCCCGTGTGATTTGGGGGTCTGAACGTGATATCATGTGTTCCCACATCTACTTTTGAATGTGGAGTAGCTCCTACTCCTAGTGCACAGCATGCATGAGGAATCACGAAGCATGTAACATTATTCCTTGGTGATAGGGCTTAACCTTCCCACAAAAGCTCATATCGATAGTTGTATTTTCAGTGAGCTAGGCACCAGCCTAATCTCTTTACAAGAACAAGGTGGGAAAGATAAATGTAACAAATTATAATTTTTAATATTAAGTCACATTTTGACCAAAAAAAAAAATATTAAGTCACATGCCCCTCTACCAAAGTGAACTTTATTAAATTCTTGGCAATTATGGGGGAAAAATCATGAATGCACTAAGTTAATAGTGATCTCACATTTTGTTGAACAAATTTTATGCTACAAACCCAAGGCCAAGAACCATCCTACTAGCAATGATAAAAGCGTCTCTTCTCATGCGCCATAGCCCTTTCTGAGACAATGGTGAAGAGATAGGGAAAACATCTTTTAGGTGCATTTGTCGCTCACAAGTTGTCATATAAGATTTTCATACACAATTCCATTATGCTTAGATAAGCTCGTAATCTTGGAGATTATTACCGGTCGATAAAATTTTAAATGGTGAGAGCATCTAAAACGTATCATCGAAGAGTCATTTCTTTTCATCTACACACCCAAATTTAAACTACAAATAAAATACGAGTCCAAACTATAAAAGCCTTCTGATGGCTAGTGCAAGCAGGCGCTGCCCCCTGTAACCCTTGGATCCCTGCCCACTCACCAGGGAGCGGACCCCCATGCTTTCCTATCGATAGGGAGTATGAACTACACCCCAACAAAAATGAGCAGGATCGAATTGAAGAGAACCCAGATAAATGTGGGGGACATATCTGAAAACAGCGAAAAATTCAGTGACTCGTTTGAAAATACGAAGAAGAAGACAGAAGAAGAAAGTGGACAAAACATGCGAACGCGACGAAACTATACGTCGCTGTCAGCGATGGGGATTGGGGATGGACCTCTCCGGAAGGAGCAAGAGACACCGATCGCCATTGTCGCACTGTGCGCGATGATCTTGATTCTTGACCCTTCGACAAGCTTCTTCATCCTGCTCCTCCATGGCTCCCGAAACTTCACCATCTCTCTCCACCCTTCTCTTCTCTTCTCTTCTCTTCTCTTCTCCCTATATATATCCCCTGCAGCCCTCGCTCTGCTCTTCAGCTTCCGACACAGAACGAACGCACCCGACCCAAGAACCTCCCATTGCCCCGCGTCTTCTGCTATTTTGCTTAGTGTTGTGCTGTTCTTCATCCGACAATGGCTTCCGCATTGACGTCTTCGCCTTCGCCCCTGGTCGCCGGCAGGGCCCCTCGCTCCGCTCGGGCCGCGTTGGCGCCGTGCTCCGTCGCGTTCCCGCGGTGGGCGCGCTGGAGTGGCGGTGAGCCGGCGGGGCTGCCGGTGGTGAGGGCCGCCCAGGAAGGCGACAGGAAGGACTCGGCGGTGGACGTGCACGTGGGCAAGACCGATCAGGGGCAGGGGACGTCCGTCGAGAGGAGGCCGCGGCGCTTGGCCGTTGACGTCTCCCCCCTCGGTAAGTGCTTTGATCCTTTGTGTTCAGTCGGGTCAGTGAGATTTCTCGCTCTGAAGTGCACCCGAAACGAGCGTTGGTAGACTTAATGCGTGCGCCGATTACGGAAGCTCAGGTTCTTTAACTTCCCGTTCTTGAATCATCGATAGCGGCTTCATTTGGGAGAGTTTATGCGGTGAAGGGATGTTTTCCTTTCAGATCATCAATCAATTTTAGGTCTATTCGATGATGAAAGAGAGTTCTTTTAGTGCACCAATGAAATGTTCTTCGCAATTCGCCTCGTCAACCTTGTTTTATCTTTACAGTAAGAAGTAAAAATCAGTCATGGATTGTTCCTGTGTAAGTCTTTTCCCTCTTAAACCATCTGACACCGTTCGCGGCATCGTGCATCGACTCGCCAGCGCTATGAACTTGGCAAGGGGGATTTGGTTAACCAATCTGTAGATCAAAACCGAAGTGGTTGAAGATTCTCTGTGGGGGAAATTTTTGGCTTGGTTTAGCTTTTGGATTGTTCTGGTCTAATTAACTAAATTATCCTACCTGTTGAGAATTACTTAGATGGCTGCATAATGCAAATGCCGCATTTTAAAAGTTCGTGTGGTCCTCTTTGTTGGGTTTGTCATGATTAATTAGAAATTACAGAAAGTCCTAATCAGCTTCTAATTGCAGGCTTATTGGACCCGCTCTCGCCAATGAGGACGATGCGTCAAATGTTGGACACAATGGATCGGTTGTTCGAGGATGCCATGACACTTCCTGGAGGCAGGAACAGGGCTGCAGGAGAAGTACGGGCCCCATGGGACATCCACGACGACGAGCACGAGATCGGGATGCGGTTCGACATGCCCGGACTTGCCAAGGAGGACGTCAAGGTGTCCATACAAGACGATGTGCTGGTCATCAGGGGGGAGCAGAAGAAGGAAGAAGGTGAGAAGGATGTTTGGTCAGGCCAAAGCTTCAGCTCCTACGACACCCGCCTCCAGCTACCCGATAACTGTGACAAGGACAAGATTAAGGCCGAGCTCAAGAACGGAGTTCTTTATGTTTCCATCCCGAAGATGAAAGTGGAGCGCAAGGTCATCGATGTTCAAGTACAGTGAAGTTCCACTTGAGTGATTTAAGTACCTGTGTAAGTAGCTTGCTATGTGTTCTGAGTGGAGGCAATTTTGTCATCAGGCCTGATGTATGTAAAATCTCTTTTAATTTTGTATCTAAAACCGCTTTAAGCGTGAAATAAAGGAAGTTGTGTTCTTATTCCTGCCATCACCTCTTATTTTCTTGGAACTGAAGCATTTTCAAGGTACTCTTATGCTTATTCCTTGTGGAATTACTGACAGCAGTACCGAAATACCATCATGGAAAATTGTTTATTCGGCTTCTTAATGGAAGATGGATAAATTACCGGATATTGATATATCCAAGACCAGACGTGAATATATAAAATAATCTATCCATAACATCTATGTTTTTGCCCCAATAGTAGACTTTTCTTGTTCCTTAAAATGAATCCGTGACCGCATGGGATCTGGCTAAACTATGCAGATAATAGGTGAGATGTCTCCTTCAAGCAAGATGAGGGGATCTTTTAAGCTTAAGATCCCTGCCTAGTTCAAGGGGGAGCTGCGTTGTCTGTTCTGGTTTGTGTTCAAATCTTTTCTTTTCTGCTCTTGTGGAAGTTGATTGCAACTTTGGACTTGGTTTTCTTTGATAAGACTGGTTCATAGTATGATTAGTGGTTACATTGAGCTTTCCTAGAGTCACGAACCATCTATAGACCGTTGAACCTGACTTGACCCGTGCCTATATCCTATATCAACATGAACATGTATGGAGAATATGGTATAGAAATACTCCGTGCTAAGTTTCAGCCAAAAGGCTGATTTAGGTATTATCGAACCCTACGATAAACCTCTAGTACAAAGCTTGTGTAATTGAATAATATAAAATTAAATGCATTTCTGTCACATAGCATGTCTGCAGAGAAACTCTGATGCCTTTCTCCATTGGATCACTACCAGAAAGCCACTAGGCCCAGTGAGGATTATTGTATGGAGATCTACTTGGTTTTAGCAACACACGGAGCACAATCCAGGAACCATGTGTTTGCAACTCATGACTTATATCCTTTTTAGCTGCCGAAGAACATTTTAAGCTCACTGATATGGACACCAAATGATGAAGTCACTATCTGATAGGAACACAGTACAACAAGGTGAGACACCGAGGGTGACTCTGCTAGACATGAGAAGTTCATGATAGATACATTTCTGCTTGACATGGAAGAGCGTCAGGTTTAAAACTAGGGTAAGAGTATTGATCTTCGATGTATCGACTGTAGTTCTCTTTAGAAATCTCATACATGTGAACAACCATCTGCCTGTTTTGTACTAATTATGTTACAAGTAGCAATGACAGAAACCAAAATAAAGCGCCGACATCAATTGTTACCTTCGGGGATAGAATCAAGCCGAGGCCTCCAGTTTCTAGGAGAATCAAGACCACGGTCCTGGCAAGTTTCTTTCTTGGTTCCTGCCAAAATCTCCTCAACAGAAACACTCTTTGACAAAAGCTGTTGAAGCTGTTGCTTTGTGATGACTATCTTTATCCTCTTTTTCACTCTGTCACTCTGTTCTGACTGGCCAGCAGTAGATGGAACTCTCCCTGGACTCATTGCAGCAGCAGCAGCAGCAGGAAGAACATAATAAACCTTCCCCAGTTTCAGCTCGTGATCCAGCGGAAGCCGCTTTGAATCTCCCTTCGAAAGGCCGATCCCCGAGCCAACCAAGTTCGTCGATAAATCTTTAACTAGAACCGGGGCGGTGAGCTTCGCTATCTTCCCATCAAGCTTCACAATCTGCAAAACTTTACCCTGCTGTCTTGGGGAGATACTGATGCAAGAAACGCAGTTTCCTATAAAGAGAGCAACAAAGTTACTCATCTCTCGTTTCGTAAGATCACACAAAGATGAAAAGCAGCGAGTGTGTCTTCTGCCCCGAGCAGTGTCTCAGCATTGTGTATGAAAGCAGAGGTTCATGTGAAAGACAAGATTCCAGAGAGAACGAGGAGCGTATGCACAAAGGCCTTCTAGGAGGAGTACATGGCCATTATATTAGTGGTGAGTGCTGGGAAGATGGAGCTGAGAAAGCTACATTTCTTGGGACACATGAATTAAAGAAATGTTAATGGTAAGAAAGGAGGTGGCATGGAGACATTTAAATGTAAGCATAGGCCAAGGTTTTTTTGTCTAGAAGAGGAAGATGTTATGGTCAATACGCATGCAATGAGAGAGGTCGGTTAGTGGAAGGTGATGGTGCATTCGCACTGCTCTAATTTGCCCATTTGGTGTCCCTATGGCAAGTAGAGTCTTTTCTTATCGTCTCCTGCACTTTTTGACTATACACGGATTGCCCCGCATAAAGAGTGAAGGCCAAGCTCAACTTTAACCTTGTAAAGATCGTCACTTTTCTGACCAAAAAAAAAAAAAGATCATCACTTTAGGGCAGGAAGGAGGGAAATATCTTTACCAAAGAGATCCAAAAGGCCATCAAGAAGATGGCTGAAATTTTTATGAATCCCAGAGGCTCCATTCTTGTGGAATTTCTTGATCATAATCATCAACTTCCCTTTATTTAAAAATATTTTCATCGAATATTTATCAAAATATGATGGAGATATTGATTCTTTCCCAGGAACAAGCATTACATGCTGTGGGGCTTGTTCTAGATGGGTGTGCCAATAACTAATGCCCATACCTGCCCAAGTGGAATATAACAATTTTTTAGAAAGGTTTTTATTTTTTATTTTTATTAAGTAATAAATGTGCACACGTGTTGCACGCTTGCAAAAAAGTTGGCACTTGAAAGATTTAACAAAATGAATAATAGTTGACTAGTTAAATAATGATAAAAATACACCATTTACAAAAAAAAATGTATAATTATACATAAAATGATCCAAATATTTCAAGATTTGAAGTTTTTTTAGAAATGTTATTTTTAACTAACAAAAGGGTGGAAAAATGCGACTAATACCAATTATTCTCTCTTAGCGTTACTAGGATCCCCAAATCTTGTACAGAGTTTTTGGTTTGGACATAATTAATTCACACTACCTGCAACTCGAAATACAGAGATTAGCGAGCCCATCCAGAATATTAGTAGTTGATAAGCCACTTCACACAAGATATACCGTAGGTACCACGAGCTCTTCGAAAGACATTATGAGAAGGAAAAAAAAATGATGGACGGTCCTTAAAAGTAGGACGGCCTGTTTACTTTGTACGATAGTATAGATGACAAATCATAGTTGGTCGTTGGCCATCCCATCAAAATTATTCAACTGCTCAATATTTGCAAGATAAAAGGACTCTCCTAAACCATTTGGAGTCATTCGCCATTTGGCCTTTTGCTTCCTTTGTTTGCGCCCGAGGTGAAGTAGATGCGATGGATCTAGTTGGTTTAGGTTTACCTTAAGGATGTTCTAGGATCAGGTGATCCGTCCCTGGAGGTTTCTCTACATGCACATCTAATATTGTCACTATAATACATGTTATCAGTTAAGCCATTATCACAAATTCAGAGAAGCATCCAAAAAAAAAGGGAACGAAATTCATCATACTTTAGAGCCCTCGATTCTCTAATAATGGGTTAATAAGGTAGATCTTTGATTATCTTTTTTTGTCACTTTAGCTAGTATTGACATATAGGAAGGATAAGACGGTCCTCAGGGTTGCGTCCGCATGACGTGGCCATATTTTACCAAGAGAGGGACTAAGGATTGAAATATTTTTTTGCTCCTGAGTAAGATAGTGTCGGACCTAAGCATGTCCTTAAAAGACTTCGTCTTGATCCTCATTCAAACCTCGAGATCATCAAGAAGTAAAACTTTAGGACGGTATTTCTTTTCCCCATGGAAGACAAAGATACAGGGAACTTAAGGGCACAGAAAAAGGGAAGCATTCGTAAAGCCCACCATGATTTCGCATCAAATGGACAAATCGTGGAAGCTCCTGTGAGAACTTCGGCTCCTCTTCTGTGGTGATGTTAACTCTTAATCGAACACCAAGGATTTACGGGAGCTAGTATTGAAATACAGGAATAATAAGATGGTCCACAGAATTGCGTCCGCATGACGTCAGAGGCCAAGTTTTAGAAAGAGAGGGACTGGTGATTGAGATACAATTCATTCGCTTCTGAGTAGATAGTGATGTTATGCACAAATCCAATGGAGGTCGTCGATGCTCCCGTTGGTGCTCCACCACGAGCAAACCTCGAACCACTTTTTAACAAATGTGCACCCTCCATTTCATTCCTGACGCCATTATGAAGCATTAACGCTGAAGCCTACAGGTTCCCCACAAAAGTGTTCTTGTCGTCTCAAACTTCCCCACCTTCAACAATCAAAAGTGCAGGTCCAGCCACTCACAGATTTTGGCTACTGAATAAGACGATAATCTTCAGCTACAGAAGCTGCTGCTAAGAATCTATGTTGATATCGCATACCCCCGAAAAAAGAGGTGGCAAATGTGCCCTGAGCATAAGCATTTTTTCCCTTTACATGTTAAGGATGAGCAAGTCACGAAAGTTCAAGAACCAAGAAAAGAGAAGACATTGAACACAAACTGCGACAAGAAGCCAGTACCAAAGAATGACATTTTGTTCAGGAATCTTAAACTTGTGAAAAATTAGACCAGTGACAGCGTTTAAAAGGGGAAATCTTGGATCACTAGAGCAACATAACCTTTGAAAAGTTCATTCTCAGCTCTATGAGCTCGGTAAATAAAAAGTACTAAGGCCGGCGGCAAGGTGCGGAATCTACATGTCGGATACGTTAAGGACATGAGTAGATATATGTACTACGCTAGTGCCACGTAATTACTCTGGATCTGTTCATGTGTACATATATATTTGTGAAGCAGCAAGTAGCCAACTGATGGGCATAGGGCAAACTCAATGCACGGGAGAGCGAGGCGGTGCACGTGGCCTGACAGGTGTCTTTGATGGGCTCACCCTGCAAACATGAATCACATCTTGGTTCAGAACTTGTATGCGTGTTGGTGTGTGTGTGTGTGTGTGTGTAAGAGAGAGAGAGAGAGAAAGAGTAGAGACCTTATGGGTAATGATCCAAGAACCGCCCCACTGCAGCTAAGAGCAGCAATTGCACTTTCTGCCTGCAATTGAGAAAGTAAAAGTCGGTTTACAGATTATGATCCGACTCCAATGTTGCAAACATCAACAATTCTCTTAAGTGCACAATGCGATGCCCGAAGTTTATGTCCCTAATGTTTTAAGAGTGCCAAGGCAAGCGCGCACGAGAGAGAGAGAGAGAGAGAGAGAGAGATGAATTTTGATTTTTCACAACGAGAGATATGCATAGAAAGGATCCAACCAACTCTCTTTGGAATATCCAGATTCATTCAATCACAATTAACTCCAATGCTTTTCTTCACAATTACATGAACCAAGTGGATAAGCCTTTTTTTCGAAGAGAACTTAGTTGAACTAGACTTTCTGGCATGTATGAAGCATAAGCATTTTGGAGGGAACAGAAATTTTCAGATATTTAAGACAGTTTCAAAGCAAGAAGGCGACTTTGTAAACAACCGATAAGAGAGCTGGATAACTTTTGGAAAGCAGGCTCCTGACTTATCAATAATTATAGCACATAGGTGACAATCCCTTCAAGATATATTTCCCATATCTTGTCATAGGAATTCCATTCAATATGCAATCATGAGCACTGGATATAGGACAAAGCAGTTTCAAAAAACAGCACAAACTCATAAATACATTGGTTGACGCAATAAGATCACAATGACACTGAGTGAAAGTGGGAATTCAAAGAACAAGACTTGAAGAAGAATATACGGATAAAGAACAGTGAAGGACTAAGCATGTATGAAGGAAAGTAGTTGGCGCAAGCCCCCACAGCCTACCGGGCTTTTTTATCCTCAAGAAGTTATTCCAATGTCATCATTAATGCATTAACCGACCAGGTACTTTCAATATGGACCGACAAAGAATTTATCTGTTTTAACTATGAGGGCCCAAACACAGACCTAAGCCAGTAGTTCCAAAAAAAAGTTGTTCTCTTCTATCTCTACATAGAAGGATACCAACACCCAATGAGATATTTGAAGAATGCTATAGGGCCTCAATTCCTGCCACTATGACAGAATATTTTTATTTATAGAAACATGAAGCCTACTACACAATGAATCCAGCATCTAGACCGAGTACTTCCCTCAGATGGGATTGTCAAACATGCTCTCCCAGTTTCTAACACCGATTGAGGACAATCTTGTTCCTTTCTCAGTGTAGTTGCTATGGTAAGATTTCCTGAACTATCACCCAGCCACTTTAGAGCTAGCTCTGACAACACAATAGGGCCCGCGCAACAACAACAACAACAACAAAGTAAATCCATTTGGTAACTATAACAAAGAGAAAAATCCAGAATCTTGACAAACATTATGGGTGCGCAAACTTCAAGGGAACCAGAACTAAGAAATTTGCAGATAACTGAAATAAAAGGTAAACAGGAGAACTGTCAGATCCTTGTTGATATATATTGTTAACTTGTCATCCTTATATAAAGAAAGGTTGACCTATGGAGTGCGTATCGGTTTATATTTCCTTGTGACAGCTATTTATACTCTCAACAAACTGCAGCTGCTCTAATCAAGCGTCTGCAAACTTTTAAAAGTAGAAGCAGGTGCAAGCTGAAGCAACTAAAAGCAACCTGTATACAAAAAGGCATTTCGTTCGGCAAATTACTTTAGTCCAAAATCTTAAGCAAAGCAGATTTTATCAATCATCACAGCACATTGAAGCTAAACACTATGTAGCTACAATACAGCACAGTTCCAACCTAGTCCAAAAACCTCACCATATGAGACCTTAGCATGTCAAATCAGACAATATCATTGCCTTATGGCATATCAGGATAAACAGAATAGCCATTCCATTCCAGGACTATTGCTGATGGAATAGATACTCCATCGTCTGGCTCGCCATATTCTCACGGAATCCAGATATATTTTTAGCTTCAGATTTAGAACCAGACAAACTGTAGCTAGCAAAATGAATTCCACCCATCTTCACTGGATAAATTACGCTCTTTCAATGGACCACACACTGTTTGTTTTCTTCTTCTTAAATTTCTTTTTGGAGAATTCTGGTTTCTTTCTTAGAACTTAAGAGAAATGCAGAAGGACAATTAACCGACAAGGTCCAATATTGCAAGATAACAAAAACAGTATAAACACGGATAATGTTGGCAAATAACAACTTTCACATATTATGAAGGAACCAGTTCAGTATGACGCTGAAACTGTAGAAAATAAGCTCAGGCACTGAAAAAAGATATCAAAGAGCATTACCATCAGGAACTCAACAAAAGCGATGCGGGTAGAATGGTGGTAATCTCCAAGAAGCCTCAGGCGCCGAACCTATAAAAAGTAAACATATCACATAAGATTTGGTCCAAATAGCCAAAAAACTTCACAGTTCTTGGCAATGAAATTTGCTGAGTAGGTGAATCATACTTCTCCACACGATAATTCAAAGAAGAGCTTGACCTCTCCATGAGTAACCTGAAATATGTGTACAATTAGATAAGAAGCCAGTGTGACACTCTCCATTGGATCCACAAATTATGTGGAAATCCTTGACTACCTTCTTGTCAATATTTGTGCAGTAAACAGTTCTTGAGCACATCTCACGTTCATCATCAGACTGAGAAACATAGAGAAAGGTTAACAGCTCAGTAATAGCAACTTAGATTAACAATGACAAGAAACATATCCTTCCTCTTGCCTATTCTAAGACTAGTAAAGAACAAGCATCATTTTTGGAAGGGAAAAAAGAAGGAAAATTCCCACCCTCGGCAAAAATGTTGGGTTAACAGGTGCAATTGCAGTTTTTGAAGGCATCACCCTGACTGGATAGAAACCAAGCATCATTCCAGCCAGATTCAAGGCAGCCTGTGCACCTTCTGCAAGCGTCGATTTAACTCGCATCAAACGGTTAAAAAATGAGTTCATAAATAGACAAAAAGCGTGCATCGTGATGATCTTTACCTTCATCGGTAAACTCTATAAAAGCAAAACGAAGACAGGAATTAGGATCACCACATACACGACAGTCCACAACCTTCCAAAAGAAAGGAAAGAACGTTATTAAGCATAATTCACCACATATAGACCAAAATTGAATTATAATACTGAAAAGTCTTACCTGTCCACAACTATTAAAGAGGGCAGCAAGTTGTTCTTCAGTAACCTAAAGGTGAGAAATAATTATCAAATGACAATGGTCAAACCAAAGGAAAACTATCCAAATACCAAGCACCATTGACAGCAAAAAGGATACGAACCAGAAGACGACCAATGGACTCCTTACCTGTTGATCTATGTCGGAGACATACACAGTCCTCCTAATCACCTCTTCACGCTGCGCCATGCTAGTTCTATTGTTCATCCTTCGCCTACCAGTGCTACTGATATTCCTTCTCTGGAAAAGGAGAACCATATTGCAGTTATAAGTGATAGCAGACAGGGAAGCTAAATTGAACGGTTGAAAATAAACCGAAAATTGTCAACTGTAAGGAACACAGCAGGAAAAAGGGTGATATTCAGCTGCATTCATTCAAAGTGCAGGCAGAAAATAGAGAAACTACTGGTATAAAATGAAGAGCCTCTTGGAAAATTGAGGTTATCCAACTTTGGACTAACCAAATTGTAAGAAAAGCATGTCTGCAGGTTTGTACTGTTTTAATTTCTAATTCCTTGGTATTAACTCAGCAACCAAAAGCATTTCTCAAACGAACAATTGGGGAAAAAATGCGCTGACATAATCCATAGATGACCATAATGCATACCCTTTTCGGCGAATAGCCATTAACAGTAGCCACATAATCATGAACTGCCAAATTGTAAGCAAAAGGAAATCCTCCATCTCCCATATGTCCATGGTTATAAACAAGCGAAGGAGGCACAAACTCCTCGGCCATAGGATTCAACTTTGACAGAATCTCGACCAGCTTCTGAACATCACTATCCACAACAGTCGATCCGAAATGAGTCCCATTTGCAAATCCACCGCCCTTGATAGCCATCAGCTGGTTCTTGACTTGAGCGTCCGACCCATTTCTCATCTGACCCACCCGACTCTCGCCATTGAAGGAAACATCCCTCCCACTGACTCGATCATTTGTCAACGCATTAGGAACACGAACGCCATCACTGGTCTTAACACTGACATCATTTCTGGGTTTTGGTTTGTCAAAATCTTTCGACTCCGATGGCTTAGCACTCGTGTCCGGATTCTGAGCCGACGACCCGATCTTCACTCCAGCATTCTCAGGTACCGCCATGATCAACAAAAAGCTAGCTTTTTTATTCTTCTATCAAGATTCTCAGCGAAATTTATCGGTAAAAATTCCTCCTTTGTCCTCTCTTCACTATCAAAACTTACGCGGAGAGAAAATCTGAGCACACCCAGACGGAAAAGAACACACTCCCGGCAATCACTTACCTGCCCCCGTGATAAATTACTTCCACCCACCAAACGCGAACCTCAACACGCACGTCAAGAACACTGCTCGACGACAGCGCGCAGCTCTCGCCTCGCCGTCGCGGGTGCCTCCGTTTCGTTCCAATGACGATGATCGCGCATTTCGAGACGAGAACTGAAATCCTGAAGAGGGTTCTCTCTTTCAGAGAGAGAGAGAGACGGGGGAGGAAAAAGTCGGGCTCTTTGGATGGTCCGTTTCAGCTGCACTGCCTTTTTGGACCTTCTTCTTCTTCTTCTTCTTCTCCAGAGGGGCAGACGCACAGAGCCAAGAATTATAAAAATGACTCCATTGAAAGAAAATCAGGAACAAAAGACCGAATGAAAGTCGTGGGTTATTATTATTCGGTATGGCACGTGGGTAGAGTAATCCCCACATCTCCATGTATATATACATGTAGAATACATGTATAATAGCTATTTTAGGAATGAAATCCCTGCGAGATATAATCTCCCGTTGTTCGACTCGGTGGTAGAGCGATCGGCTAGTAACCCGATTGCACGGCATCGTCGGGAACAAAACGTGAGGAAACCCTATTGATTGGATCGTGCGAACATATACATACATATGTATGTGATGTACCGATATTCATAATCATATGTGTTTGTGTTTCAATCGCCTCGTAAAAATCATGTAGAAGATTCATAACGTGTGTTTGTAAGTAGTTCCGCAGTTGATTTTCTCTTACATATCAATAATTCAGCGGTAAATGTGAGCTTTCGTAAAAATTCGAGAGTAAAATCCCATAAATAAATATAAAGTAATATAATTTCACTAGATTAAGATATTGTCGAAGATAAAAAAAAAAAACCATTTCGACCGAAAAGGAAGAAGATAAAAACCATTCTTAAATACTTGATAGGCAAGTGCTCTTGCATCATTTAATTAATACACATCCAAGATGGATAGCTTTCGTAATTGTGCATATTCATAAAAAAGGCAGTATAATTAAAGAAGGAAAATCCACAAAAAAAAAAGAAGAAGATAAAAATCATTAGTAAATACTCGATAGCCAAGTGCTCTTGCATCATTTAATACACGTTCGAGATGGGATAGCTTTCGTAATTGTGCGTATTCATAAAAATGAAATAAATTAAAAGGAAGGAAAATCAAACACGAGAAATTAAGTAGAATTCCTTGTTTTTGTAGTGACATAATATTGGCTAGAAAAAACCTCCCATCTGCCCGATTTTGCACGTGCAATCCTCTCGCGCGGGATTCGATTTCCATACGTTGACTTTGATTCGTATTTTCACTGTAGATATTTATTGCTGTACTTTTTTTGGGGGGGAAAAAAAATAGATTTTTTCTGCTATTTCCCCTTAATATTTTTACTAATTTTTAACATGGATGTTATTTTCGTACATTTGCACACCGAGGTCTTTACATGTAAATAAAAACTACATTCTAAGTAATACGAAGCTGCCGCGTTTATTCGCCGGACAATAATACATGTAGGTTAAGACGTTCAAAGTTAGAGTTCCTAAACTAGCGACGTAATAGGATAGATAAAGCGTAATTCTTGGATGAGGATGGGTGTTTTTTTATATAGAAAAGGAAAATAGCCGGGCCAATATAAAAAAAAGAAGAAGGAGGAAAGACAGAAAATTTTTACCAATTTTTTTTAATTTTCCGTGAATCAAACAAAGCCGAATCCACTTTTTCTTCGCTTAAGTGATGCAGGTAAATAGAGCGTAATTCTTAGACGAGAGCGAGCGTTTCTTTTCGTATAAAAAGAGGAGGAAGAAAGGTGGGTCATTATGGAATAAAAAAAAAAGGGGGAAAGAAAGAAAAGTGGGACTAAGATTTTTTCCTCTTTAATGATGCTCTAATATATATTATATATATATTATTTATACACAAAGCGTGAGGAAAGAAAAAGAATGGAGGGGATGCGGCGGGAGGAGAGAGAGAGAGAGACAGAGGAGCCCCATGTGGCTTTTGTTCGGTTTTAGCATTGGTCAACGATTTCGTGCCTAAAAATCCCTTTGGTTGAATGGGAGTTGTTGATAAAAGCCACCCCCCTCAACCATCCCTTGTCATCGTGATTCATGTCGATCTGGTCGAGGGCATCGTCGATCGCGAATTTTGATCGGCAGTTTTGCTTGCGCCTCGGGCTTTAGAGATCCTTTATCGGCACGGATCGTAGGGATAAGTTGCGCACCGGGTTCCCCCGGGGTGTAAGCTCAATTTCGATGTTTTCGTTTTTTTTCCTCCTCTTTCTCTTTTTATTTTTTGTAAATTTTGGCGGGCGTTGCTAATCTTTGCTTAATTGCTGGTTGATGAGAATCCGCTGTTTTCTTTTCTCTCTCCCCGCCCTATTGCGCGGTTGGTAGGTCCATCCAACAAAGAGCACTCCCTCCAAAAAATAAAATTAATTTTGTCCAAAAAATAATAATAATAATGAAAAAAAAAATTTGACAATATATCGCCGGTGGGCCCCACGGACCGGACATGCGGGGGGGCCCCACCCCAAATTGGGACCCCGCGATCGATCGAACGAACGGACGCCGCGCGGCGACCGCTGGTTTTCGGTGGGCCCGCACGTGGCATCTCGAAGGGGAGGGGGGGGGAGGAGATCCGTTCGCGGCCGAGGGGCGTCCACGTCATCGGCGCCGCGCGTGCTCCATCGGGGGCAGAACGGTCTTTTTCCCCAGCGCGGAGGTGATGCTAGTAGTACTGTACCGACCGGCTTATGGATTTCAGCGATTTTTCGGACCAAAAGAAAAAAAAAACACAAAACAAACGAAAAAGAAAAATCGGGGAGCAGCCCGGTATCAACGAGAGCATATTCTTACAATAGTAAATCAACCATGATTGATCAAACTTATTGGCGTTACCGCTATTATTTTATATATATATATATTCGATTTAAATACGAAGGCAAGGAAATTGATGCTAAAGTTTAAATGCACGGTGTGATCAACCCGTCCTTATATCAAGGCACTTATGGAAAACTTTATAGGGAAAATTATGTTATAAATTTGAAATGAAAATTGCTTTTCCCTATCGAGTATATCGTTTGACTTCCAATATGAACATCTATAAGGATTTTCGGCACCTTTCTGTGGATCGAAATCGTGCCCAGATTACATTAGAGGCGGAAAAGAACTGTTATGTGTTTTGAAAGATTGAGCCCGTGAACGGAAGACCGAGTAACGTTATTTTAAAAACGGTCCATTACTTAATAATGTTCAGTGGTATTTTCATGAGAGATTTTGGGCATCTTTGGTTAACTGTTAGGACCTGTTTTTAGTCAACCAAACGCATGGCAAATGCATAAAAACAAAAAATGGAAGGTGCAGGAGTTGGAAAACTATAGAGCAGGGATAGCAATTTTGCCTAACGAAAGCAACCCAATTCGTGGTCTAGACCCGCATTATCAAATGGGTCGGCAGTTAACTTCCGGTACCGCGGGGAAGCTCACATCAATGTCAAACTTCAATTCATGACCACATGAATTTATAAGTCAATGAGCCAAAAAAAAGGAAACGTTACACCAACCATGAATGTTAGCTTGTTCCATATCTCTCCTTGCTCCATTTGCCGGGGACTACCAAGTACGGGATAGGATATAAATATCGTTACATGTTGTGTATGAGTGAGCAAAACGGTGTTAAGGATGCATTTGTTTGAGAGAAGGTGTTTTCCTTGGGATTAGTTTTTCGAATTTTCACTCATTTGGTTCGCCGAAAATGATTAGTTAACTGAAAACACTTTTCGATTAACGAAAAGATTTATGCATAATACTAAGAAAGTGAATTTCTAAATCTTAAAAAGTGAAAACATTTTTCGGAATTGTCCGTCTTGAATTTTTTGATATTTTAATTTTTTTTTCTTTTTGTTCTTTTCCCTTCTTCTTCCTTTGCCGATCGCTGGGCCACGACGACGGCTGGCAACCGACCATAGTCGTGGGCCGATGAGAGCTGGCCTCAAGCGAGCTCCATCTCGTTGCGGCGAGGCTAGCGAGGCTCAAGCTCGACCTCGCCCGAGGCCGGTCAGGTAGGCCCTCGCTAGTGGCCACTCGGCGACTGGTGGAGGAGGAAGAAGGAAAAGATAAAAATAAAAAATAAAAAAAGATTTAAAAATTAGATTTTTTTTTTACAAAGAGAAAGTAACCATTTTCCTAAAAATATTTTTCTTATTTCGTGAAATCTTCAGAAGAAGGGACAACACACTTCGCATTTCAACCGTGGAGAAGGGGGGAAATCGAAAAAACGAACGAGACTTTTTGCTTTTCAATCGACTCTGATAATGGAGCAGGTTTTGACTGTAAATGTTGAAATTTTTTTTTTTTTTAGATTTTTAGAGAATTTTATTATCTTTTTTTGTTGTGCACAAGCTGTGCTTGACCGTTGACCGTGAACCGGTCTACATTCCATTCCAAATTGTGGAAGGCAAAGTTCATTCCAAATTGTGGAAGGCAAAGTTCAATGGCCGGTCCACAATTGAATTCTTGGTGCGAATTTTTTCTTTTTCCCTTCATCCCATTCGAATTAGACTTTATGTTGGATCAGTCTACCGCGCTCGTACAAGTTGATTTTTGGGTCTAGGCAGAAGCAAAGGTAGACATTAACGTCGAAATTAGGAAATTCCGTAACTTCATGAAGCTATGCATTTGGCAAATTGCTGGAGATGAGAATCGGACAAGATGGTCCAATCTTCTCAAAATGTAGATTTTCGAAAATTTTCTTTTTCTTTCGCAAATGCCGATGCGGATATCTGGCTTTCTTCGCTAAGCTTTCTCAAATCGTTTTTGTTTCATGACAAGAGAATCGGCTTTAAATGGCTAAATCTCTGATCCATAAAGTATTCCATTAACCTCATGAATCGGGTAAGACGTAACGTGCCAATCAAAATTCCGTGTGGATTGTGAAAGTATGACCCACTCGAGACGATAGCAAGATAACAATTACATTGCAATTTCTTCTCCTTTTTGGGAGGAATGTTGGACTTTCTTTTGAGGGCCGTGGTAGATTATTTCGACTTTGAATGGGTTAAAGATCCACACTAGGCATTAGACTGATGGTTAATATAATTAGGGAAAAAACCACCAAAAACCCCAAACTTTGCCATCTGTGACACATTTACCCCGAACTTTTTTTTGTGACACCAAAAACCCCGAACTTTGCTTTTTGTGACACATTTACCCCAATGTATTTAGTCCATGGGCATTTTCGTCTTTTCTGCTTTTTCTTTTTTTTTCCCTTTCGGCGAGAGGGGCCTCGCCGGCGTCGGCCTCGCCGGATCCGGCGAGGGGGCCCTCGCCGGCGTCGAGCGAGGGCGGCCCTCGCCGGATCCGGCGACGGCGGCCCTCGCCGGCGTCGGGCGAGGTTCGCCCTCGCTGGGCGAGCGAGGGCGGCCCTCGCCCGACTCGAGCGAGGTCGACCCTCGCCCGACGCCGCGAGGGTCGACCTCGCGAGTCGGGCGAGGGCGGCCCTCGCTCGCCCAGCGAGAGGCGACCCTCGCCGACGTCGGGCGAGGGTCGACCTCGCTCGAGCCGGGCGAGGGCCTCCCGCCCGGATCTGCGAGGGCCGCCCTCGCTCGACGCCGGCGAGGGTCGACCTCGCCGGATCGGGCGAGGGCCGCCCTCGCTCGCCCGGGCGAGGGCCGCCCTCGCTCGCCCGGGCGAGGCCGCCCTCGCTCGCGTCGGGCGAGGTCCGCCCTCGCCGGATCTGGCGAGGGCCGTCGTCGCCGGATCAGGCGAGGGCCGCCCTCGCTCGACGCCGGCGAGGGCCCCCCACGCCGGATCCGGCGAGGCCGACGCCGGCGAGGCCCCCCCCCCCGCCCGGAAGGAAAAAAAAAAGAAAAAAAAAAAGAAAAAGCGAGAAAAGACGAAAATGCCCATGGACTAAATACATTGGGGTAAATGTGTCACAAAAAGCAAAGTTCGGAGTTTTTGGTGTCACAAAAAAAAGTTCAGGGTAAATGTGTCACATATGGCAAAGTTTGGGGTTTTTAGTGGTTTTTTCCCATATAATTATATAACCCAGTGAAGAGGCTTTGGTCGCATTTGGTAACACAATTCCAAAGCCCTTTGGACCTCCAAAGTCCAAAGGCCCTTAGGCAAATGTTAAGCTGTTTGGTAAGAAGCACTCATTTTTCGTATTCCTCTTTTTATCCTTGAATGGCACACTTTTCATCTCTCCCATTGCTTGTTGTCTCTCTCTCTCTCTACTTTCTCTAAACCAAGGCTGAGCGAACGGTTCGAGGGACAATCACCGAGGTTAGGCCAGATTTGGAGGGTTGATGTGAGATCTGGAGAATCGAGGGTCACTTAGGCTCGCCAGTGGTCGCCGAGGCTTGCTAAAGGTTGCCGAGGCACGCTCGAGCCTTGCCGAGGGTCGTTGAGGCTCACGTGATGTCACTCAAGAAGGGTCGCATGACGCTTGTGCTCAATTTCGAGCCCAAATCAACGAAGTCGAGGGTAGCCCTCGTCGAGCATGACCGAGTCGAAGACTCAGCGCTCGTTGTCCTCATCACATGCGACTTGCCAGAGGTCGCACGACTGGGCATCCACTCACCGGGCTCGTGCGACCTCGGCTGGGTCACTGGAGGTCGTGAGGTCGCGCGACCTCAAGGGAGGACTACCGGTGCCGGATTTAGCCATCGCTAGAGTACCGCCCGATTCAATTTTCTTTTTATCTTATGCCTATAAAATACATAACTAAAGTACTTTCAAGTGTAGCCTTCCCCCCTTGTAAATCTGCCGGGGCTTATGTTCGGCCCGATTCTTCTTCACTCCAAGCCCAATGGGCCAACACCAGAAGGCCCAAAACCAATCCGAAACGGGCCCAGCGCGCGGTGGAGCCCAAGATCATCACGTGCGCGCCGCGTGACGGAGAGAGCCAGAAACCCTAGAACCCTAAGATCGCATCCCACATATATATACACAACATCTTCGCGAAACCCCGCATCCCTCCGTTTGCTGAAGAAGAGAATCGCCTCCCTTCGTGCCCCTGTTTCCCTCTGTGCAACAAGCGATGTCTTCCGTCGGAGAGGCTGCCTGCACCTACGCCGTCTTGATCCTCTACGACGACGGCATCCCGGTCACCGTAAGGGCCTCTCTCTCTCTCTCTCTCTCGTCGTGTGCATCGGCTGCTTGTTTTGGGGGGTGTTTTTTTTTGGGGATTGATTGCGCGACGGAACTTGGGGATGTAGGCGGAGAAGATCGCTACCTTGGTCAAGGCGGCGAACGTCAGCGTCGAGTCCTACTGGCCCAGCCTGTTCGCCAAGCTGGCCGAGAAGAGGAACGTCGGGGACCTCATCATGAACGTCGGATCCGGCGGCGGCCGGCGGCGCCGCCCCTGCCGCCGCAGCTCCGGCCGCCGAGGAGAAGAAGGTAGGTTCCTTGATTCACAGTAGGCAGCTATCGGTAATCCATGGCCTCATTGATTGTGTGAATTTGCCTGTCTATTCTTTTAGCTGCGGTTGGTCTGTGTTTTGATACTAAGTTTAGAATAGTTAGAGCTGATCCAGAATCAAGCGCATTTCCGTGAATAGTGGACCTTATTTAGCGAAACGAGGCTTAACTTGTTGATGTTGCTGTGTTCTGAAACCATTAGAGCTAGCTGTAGGTAGGTGTAAAGTATAGTTTTTGGGCCTCGTGTAGGAGCATGGTTATGGTTTTTGTGTCTCTTTTCCATGCGCTTCGAGTGCATAATTTTAGTTATGTAGCATTAACAGTGGAGTGTCGACGTGACATTCTTCATCATTTGTTTTTTTGCGGGTGAGTTTGTCCGAATCTCATGCTGTTGCATTCTTGTTCTGTGTTCAGGAGGAACCGAAGGAGGAGAGCGATGATGACATGGGATTCAGCTTGTTTGATTAGGAGCATTTTGGTCTGTTAGAAATTCTATTGGAGTGGTCTATTACTTTTAAATTTTGTTTAGTCTTACAAAGTTCGTCAAGCGGTGTACTGCTGACATTTGGTCTCAAACTTAATGTTGGATCGTCCAATCGGCAATCATTTTCTCTACTTTGTATGAATGTTGGGTTTACTTAGTTATGAGAATGTGTGAATTTCTTGTCAGGACAGTTTCTGCTCCTTAGATGCCGTTCCAGCTTTGATTATATATCAAATATGCGGAATTATGCTGCAGTTTTATAGCAGGGTCTAGTTCTAAGCAGCATCGACATGTGACGATGGTGGTGAAGTTTTTATCTTTGGTTCAATCTAGGAATCAATTCATAACTTTTCAAATATATGCTCAGATTAACATCGTATGTAGTTATAAATGTCTGTTGATTAGCTATTTCAGATCAAAGTGCTGGCGACTGGTAGTTATAGGTTGTTTTGAATACTCTGGTTCTCCATGCTTCCTCCCTGAAAAATCTGAGTTTTGGCTGATACTCTGTTCAGTGAATGTTGGGTCTTCTTCTGCAAAAGCTTCTTCTGGGGTTGAGTTATATTTGGCATGGTAAAATCTTGGTTAGATGAAGTTGTAGGGCATAAGAGTGACTTGCTGTTGTTATTTTCTAGTTCATTGAAAGCTGTAATTCTGCACGAAATTTTGAAGCAATAGATTTGAAAAGAAGTGGGTTTGTTCTGAGAAGCTAACATGAATTTGGATTTGAAAGAGGGAGAGAGATGTCAGAGTAAATGGATTTCCCCCATAATTGTGTATTGCGAAATAATAGTGTAATAGACAGATATTGATTATGTCATCACCTCATCATCGTTTACTGCATAATAACTCGAAGTGCGTCTTTGATGCATTTGTATTTTACACGAACTCTGAAAGTTGCAATAGAGAAAAGTGTGGAATTATTTCTTACACCAGTAATAAACCTACTGAAAATCCTCACAAAATATTGTAAGACGTTGTCATTAGTAACCTTTGAAAAGTGGCTTTATATTTCTTGTCCGTTAATATCTGTGTAACTCTATTGCGGCCTGTATGTAAGGAGGCTTTACACTTGTAGGCCAATTCACCTTCAATTTGGATTTTTGAGGATGCTGATGAATTCTATGTAACAATGGGAAACTAGGGACAGCTGAAAGATAACCACAAATCAATCTTTAGGACTAGGAAGTAAGACCCTGTTTTACAACCTCGAAACCGTGGAATCAGATGAAGCCTAGTTAGTGAGAGGAATTCCTATAAATGTACTTCGAAAATGATTTTGTCCGAGTCCAGAGAGTGAATTTTCCATGAAAGGGCTGGAAGTTAGGTGAAATAGATTCCTAAGTTTAAGAGAATCTGCAGTAGTGCAGTTGACCTCGAAAATTACCGATGATGATGTCTGTTTACAAGTATTGAGTGTATGTGAGAATTTCGCCCTTCTTTGCCTTGATCATGTGTATGACGCATTGTCCGGGATGAGAGCATTTTTTGTGGTTCTAAGTTTGTTGAATGAAAAGCTTTGCCTGAGTAAATTCAAGACTATACCGTAAGAAGCCAAGGCCACGGACTCGATCAGTCCGAGATTCTCGTACTGAAGAGTCCGGGATCACTTGCGGCGAAGTGCGTCCAAAGTGTGAACGATCAGTGTGAACGATCACACGGTTCACCACTCGCTCTCTATGAGAAACACAGACTAGCATAAACGTACATCGACATGGCAACAAGAAAGTGAAAGGATAAAACTTAATAGTACTTTCCCATTATGAACTCTAGTGCTTGTATGGAGGAACTATGCGTGATTTACAACAGTAGTGCTGGTATGGAGGAACTGTGTGTTTTGCAACAGTAAACTGTATATATCCTAACTTTTGGTATCAAATCTCTAACGTCTAAGCCTTATGCTAGGCTTCAACGACTCCGAATCGCGTATTACTGCTGAGAAGAGGGAAAAATGGCAGCCAAAAAGTGTTAAATACCATCAGATCTTAGTGTCTCACCTCTGGCCTCCTCCTTCTCAAGTTCCCAAACTTCTGGGCCACGCTAAACATAGCTGCTTTAGTCAGAAGCCCGTGGTTGAGACTAAATGCGAGGACAAGGATCCCACCGATGAACAAAACCTTGGGGAGATTACCGCCCTTTGGTTTCTCCACCACATCGGCTTTACTGACTTCGGACGTGTCATCAGACTCTTCCAAAGACTTGACAAACTCCGGGCTTATCTTCGTGTTGATCTGAGCCATCTTAGCAGGGTGCGAGAGTGGCGCCCCAGAAGCTCTAGCTTTCTGGTAGGCATGCAAGCCGGGTTCAATCTTCTTGACTGCTCCCCACATCCCCTGCCTTATTCCGAGCTTCGCAATCTCATTAGGGATGCCCATGTCTTCGTAATGGAAGAGCAAGACTTCACATGCTGTCAGCTGCCCATCGTTCTTTCTCGACTCGACTGGTGAAGTTCAAAGGGAAAAGGGCCACCACAGTACACAAACGTATTAAATCCAGGTCGCAAATGGTGCGAAAAATAGAGAGATAGACGGATCATAGTTAACGTCGGAACAGAGAAGACGATGTACCTGCTCGAATACACCAACTTGAATAATACAAGTCCACACGTCTTGGTTTGTTGCGCCTAGGGATGGAAGGGTAGTGTACTCCCTGAAATTGTGCAAAGTAAAACAGACGATCCTTTGGTACATAATCACAGAAGACAAAGCACATCAACAAAAGCTTTTTTCTTATTTTTCGGCCAGTACATCAATGAAGGTTGGCCGAAGAAAACATTGGAAATTCTCTCAAGCAGCAAGAATGTTGTTCCTGAATGTTCAACATACAAACCAAGAATATCACTTCTCATACCTTTGTCACGCAATAATATGACCTCTCAGATTCCCATATTCGGCGCCCGATGATATATTCACGGTCGCTACAGAAAAAGGGGAACTGCAATGCGAACCATTCGCATGAGCATCATGCAACTGAAAGTAATCCATAGAACTTAAAATGGAATTATCAGAAACACAGAGAAAAGAAACAGAGAAGATTTCACCTTCCTAATCCAATGAACAACCATGGTTCCTGTGGAGGGACAATCCTCTACAGTTGTTGAATAGGCAAGCATATCATCCCACTTCGACCGAAAGTCATCGTCCCAGAAGAAATCCCTCACCGTCTCAGGTGTTGCATCCTCGAATACAGTTCTGCTACGATACTGAGGAGGACCGGTCTATGCCATTAATTGAAGCAAAGTCAGTCAGTTATACAATCAATACCTAAATAAACAGCATTTGACTGACTAAAATCACATCCAAAATGTAAAGAAAAAGTTTCACCAAATCATTAGAAATTGAGAGAAAACCATGAAATCTGTGACATACTTTGGGATCTCGCCTCCAGGCTTGGTAGCTCATACTCAACGCATAACGATCCATCATATGTATCCAAGAAGGACCTCCATCTTTCATCTCAACAAGATGCCATAACTGCGTCAAATCCTCCTCCGACAACAAAGTGGATATCTCTCCGGCCTCTGGTGTGCTGCAAGAGTTCCAATAATTTCATGAGAAATTGATTCATATGCCGGTAGGCCTGTCCCTGCGTCATGTGCAAAAACACATATCCGCTTCTTCATGTAGAAAGCCTAAGAACGGGATGCAACATTTGCCCGTGGCAAAGAACCATTTTCAGCATCATTATGAGTAGAGTTTGAGCTCCATCTCATATTCTATCAGATAATATTCTGAATGCCACTAACAAGCTATAGCAATTGAGAAACGAAGAGACATGAAAAAAATGCGATTCAAGGAGCGAAATTACAGTAAAACCAACGGACAACCCGCAGCATACCTGCACTCCTCAAACAAGGCAGGCGATTGAGATAACGGTTTCTTCTTTGTCGCCGCACCATCAAAACTACGGAAATCGAAACTCGGCCACTGCACCTTGAATGAATTCAAGCACGGGTCCGACCCGAATCCCTTCAACGGAGACATCACCGATTTCGACGGCAAGAAAGGGAAGGAGGAATCAGACTGCCTCAGCACCGAGCAACTCAATTCGACCCTCCCCAAGCTCGCCCATTTGGGCTTCCATGCCCATCCAATGACAACCCCAACAAGAAAAGCAATCCAAACAGGAACCAGAAGCAGCACAACATCCGCAAACACCCCCAACATCTTTCCACTTTCAAACTGTTCGACGTAATGCCTCAATCACAACCACAACAACAGGGCAAGGACAAAAACTACCCCGGAAGAAGAACAACAACTCCTGATAATATACGCACACAGAAAAACGTACAACAACGACAATTCTTGCTACGTGCAACCCCAGAAGGATAGAAAAAACATCTGCTTTATAACAGGGGCAGAGGAGGCAGGCCTCATCCAGAGGAAGACATTAGGCAAGCGAAGAAAGAAGGGGAGGAAAAATCAAAAACCCAGAAAGGATAATATCACACGAACGCCGTGAAGGGTAAAGAAAAAGGGCTGCGTGCCCGAGATTGCCATTGCCCCAAAAAAAGGACATGAGAGAGAGGGAGAGAGAGACGTGTGATGTCGAGAGAGACGGTGGACCCTGGATCAGTCCTTGCTTGCTTGGTATCGGGCACCGGTCGACGTCGTGGGTCTCTCTCGATGCGCTTCTTGCGACCAGACATTCGCCCGTGGGATCGGTGGACGGACGGAGGAGACGCGCGCTGTGTCTGAATGGGCCGAAATAGGTCTGGTCCAGAATGATTGTAGATAGGGACGCCGACGATGAAGGGAGAGGAGAGAGAGAGAGAGAGTACAAGTGACGTAGGATCAATCAATTTTCGTAATCGTCCGTAGAATTATACTCGTACAAATTTTGACTGACTACTAACAATATCCATAATATTCGATAAAATCGAGATTAACACCGGTGAGATTCAAGTAAGACTTTGTGATTTACTTTGCTGGGCATTGATAAGTTTCGGTACTGATCAATAACTTATTAGTCGCGCATAGTCCCGTTGATAGTTTTGCCTGTTATCGAATATTGATTTGCGGATTTCCCGAATTATTATCACGTATTGAGTTATTCCAATTGTGGATAATTTCGATCGTGATTTCACATGAGGAACAAAAAGGGGTTTCGGTTTGAGTTATGTTGATGTTAATGGGGTGTGTGAGAACATTCGTTAAATTAAATGTACTAAAATGTAGAATGGTTAGTGCCATACCTAATTCAAAAGAAAATTCAATACATGCAAAATCGGTTAGCTGATTAACGAATTCCTGGAAATTGCTAGATTATACAAAATGAGTAAGTACACTGATAGTCCATCAACTTTTGTTCGATATATAATATTATCCACAAAAATTTCATCGGGTTCAATTAAATCCCCCAGACTTTATCCAATGTGCAATATCATATCTATATTTTTAGTTAGTTCAAATAAGGGCATATCTAAATTGACTTTTACTATTACTTTTGGTTTAGTATGAGCCTGAGGTAGACACACTTTGACTTATTTTTAACACAAAAAACCTAAAATCTTTAACAGCATATAAATGTGGACATGTAAATTTCCTTATAACTTTCTTCATAATTTTTAAATTTTAGATAATATCAACGGGGAAGCAAAAAATAATTTATATTTAACTTTGAACAAACATAATCTAATTTTACAGTTCACTTATCTAGGTTAAGGGTCAAGGAAGCTAGCTTGGTATATGCTTTCTCCAAGTCTTTTTCGGAGTTTCTTTCGAGCCAAGCAATCTTTTATGGCTATCCGACAATTGTCTCTTTCTCTCTTCGCCTCAAGTTATGTTACATAGACTTTGCAATCCGTCCGAGGCGACATTTTCTATGGGCCCATTAAAAAAAGGATAAGCTTCTATATCTGAACCCCTTTGACAATAGTACTATTATGATATGCTTTCTTATGCTCTCTCCTAACAAATAGTCAATGGGCTAAATGGACAGATAGAGCTCGAATTGTTTTTCGTGATTGCGTTTACTCATCAAAAGTTAAGCACATTTGTGTTGGAGTTGGCGAATACTTCGGGGACCCTTGTTTCTCACACCGGGTACGCCCACGTGAGCTTAGGGAAACTGAAGTGTTGTCCAACGACATGTGACCCATGCGTGCGGAATGCGGGGGTTCGGGCGCGACGCCCGACAGGGTGTCCCGTGCCGGTCGGCCAGGGTCGGGGGCGCGCCCACGGCAGGGGTTCCATTGCCGGTCGGCCAGAGGCCATTTGCCGCTCGCCGGTGAGCGGGCGGGGCTCGGAGGCGGCGCCCGAAACCTCAACGGGTTTGGGCTGGCCCGTATAGTGCGAGATTAAGAGATTTCATATAGGTTTAGGTTTTGGGCCCGTTTGGGGCATATATATATATATTTTGCTCGTTTTTCTGATCATTGTAATGAGTTGAGTGGCTGTAAACCGAAAATATAGTGAAATCTCTTTGCAGGACGTAGCCCTAATCGAGGGTGAACCTGGGTAAATTCGTGCATCGTCTATTTTCTCTGTTTTCTGCGTGATCGTTCTGTTTCGGTTCTCGATACGTCCCTTCAATTTGCTAGCCTTACTTGCTTACTCAAAAAAATGATGCCGTCTCTAGTAAGGTGTTGAGTCGTGAACAGGGGAGATAAAAATGTTAAATTTAAACGCTTTTAGGCATCTAACATATCTTTAACATGCCTTTACTGACGAGGTACCATCTCAAGAGGTTATATCGGACATCAATATGGACGGTTGATGCCCATATAGCGGTGTTCCTAATGATATTTTAGATCCGTTATTTTAACGGAGGCCTCACATCGGGCTGAATTTAATAATTTTGAGATACTTGATTACAAAAAAAAATTAATAATTACTCAATTGTAAAACAAGTAAAAATTACACAACTCATTCACAACAATTCGGAAGCCGTTTGTTGATAGAAGGACATAATTGAATATTTTTAAAACAGTGCAGGTACAATTGAATTAATCTCAAGTTTGGGATGATTTAGCAATAGACAAACCCCCATTGAAAGTTTACGGTGGGATTTGGCATTTGTCTAATCCCCTAAAAAAACCCCCAAACTTTAAATTTAGTCTTGACTCTATTCGGAATTTTTTTTTTCTTTAGAAAAAATCCCAAACTTTAAGGCTCCGTTCGTTTGGTGGAAAATATTCTCCCGAAAAATATTTTCCGGGTTTTCCGGTGTTCGGCGGGCGGAAAACGTTTTCCGTGGAAAAATATTTTTCTTCCCTCCTCACAAAATAGCCTAAGTCTATGGAAAATGACTTCCGCTTTTTCAAAAGCGAAAATCATTTTCCGGAGCTTCTTCTTCTTCTTCTTCACTAAGGTCGCCGGCCGCCGCCGCCGTCCGCCGCCGCCGCCGCCGCCGCCGGCCGCGCCGCCGCCGCCGCCGCCGCCGCCCGCCGCCGCCGCCGCCGCCGCCCCGCCGCCGCCGCCGCCGCCGCCGCCGCCGCCGCCGCCGCCGCCGCCGCCGCCGCGCCGCCGCCGCCGCCGCCGCCGCCGCCGCCGCCGCCGCCCGCCGCCGCCGCCGCCCGCCGCCGCGCTCTTCCGGCCGCTGCGCCGGCAGCCGCACGTCGCCGCCGTCCCGCCGCCGACCTCGAGCCGCCGCCGCCGCGCCCGCGCGCCAGTCGCCCCGCCGCCGCCGGTCGCCGCCCGTCGTCGTCGCCGCCGCCAGCGCCGCAGCCACCGCCGCCGCCATCGCTCGCCGCGCGCCGTCGGCGAAAAATATTTTCCGAAACTTTTTCATATTGGTCGCGAACACGAGAAAATTATGTTCTGGGAAAACATTTTCCAGGAAAATGACTTCCGGGAAAATATTTTCCAAAAGGAGAATATTTTCCGCCAAACGAACGGAGCCTAAGTCCAATTTCAAAATTATTCCTAAGTATTATTTTCTTAGAAATAACCCAAAACTTTAGATTCAATTCCAAATCTGCCTCGAATTTTGTTTTGTCTAAACAAATTCTCGAACCTGTTGACGTGGTCCAGTCCTAACTTTTTTTTTTGGCTCGCTCCTTTTTTCTATGTACATGTGTCTGCGGTGCTCATGGGGATTGAATCTCGGACCCGGTACTCTTCGACCCCACTCTTCCAATCTTTTTACCAAGGGCCGCATGTTTGTTGGCGTCTAGTCCTAACTCGACATGACATTTCCACATCGATGATAAATGTACATTAGTTAGGTGACATGAAAAATTATCTAAATAATGAAATTAATCTAGGATATAAAAATTAGGAAAGATTAATGGCGATTTTCGGACAGAGGGTTGACGGGGACAAATACGAAATTAAAGTAAGAATTAGTGATTTTTCTATTAGACAAAAAAAAAAAATTCGAGGCAAATTTGGAATTTAATTTTAAAATTGGAGTTTTTTTTAAGAGAATCATGCTTTTAGCATCAGATAAACAACATTCAGGGACTGATTGGTGGTGCAATTATTGCTATCCAGAAATCATGGAGGCGATGGTTACAGTCAACGCGGGTTCTCTTGAGCTTCTCTAAAGCGACAGCCGACGGCCGGCCGTCCGTGCGCAACCCGCGTTTCTGACGGGCGGTGACGGTCCGGTCGTCTCCTTCCGCCATTTCTCTTCTCCTTCCCAAGCTCCACCGCCGCCGCCACCACCACCACCGTCATCATCATCCTGAAAATGCTCTGCTCCGCCCCGGCCGACCGGTCCGGCCCGAACTGGCTGGACCGCCTCCGGTCATCCAAGGGCTTCCCCACCGGCGACGGCGACGGCCTCGACCTCGATCACTTCCTCGCCGATCCCCAGAACCCTAGCCCGCCCACCCCGCCGGCGGCCTCCGATCCGTCCACTTCCGAGTCGATCCACTCGGTCCAGAGCCAAATCACCACCCAAGACCACGCGCGCTTGGCGCGGGCCCAGAAGCCCGGCGGCGAGAAGGACTGGTACGGCATCATGACGGGCGTCCTGTCGGAGCTCTTCAACATGGGCAGCGACGGCGAGGTGGAGATCGCGAGGAGGGGCTCCAGGAAGCAACCGAACCCTAGGTTCTTCCCCAGCTCCGGGGCCCACGACGCTAGCGCCGGGGAGAAGATCTCCGATTGCGCGGCCGCGGCGGCGGCGGGGGCGGCGGGGGCGAGGGGAGAGAATGCGGGGTGGAGGACGCCGTCGGCGGATTTGGAGAGCGATGCGGTGGACAGGACGGCGAGGGGCGCGAGTGCGGATGGGGAAGAGGAGGAGGAGGAGGAGAAGGAGAGCGGGGACAATAAGGATTTGGTTGGGTACTCGAGGAGCGAAGTGACGGTGATCGACACGAGCTGCGAGTCGTGGAAGTTCGAGAAGGTGTTGTACCGGAGGAAGAATGTGTGGAAGGTCAGGGACAGGAAGGGGAAGGTGAGGAGCAGCATTGGGAGGAAGAAGAGGAAATTAGGGGGTGGAAGTGAGGATGGGATTGTGGGTGGGAAGAAGAAACTCAAGGTTTCGGGTTTGGAGGTTGATGAATTGAGTGAGGTAATGTGTTGGGAAATTTTGCCTCTGTGTCCACCATTGTTTATGCTTTCTTACATTGCTTGTGCAAATGGTCATTATGTGCTGAGTGAGTAGTATAACTAAGCATTTATATGGGCTGTCTGCTTTGTGGAGTCGATAACTAGTGTGCCATGAATCTTCGTTGCATGGCGGATGGAGATACTTTCTCTAGCAGAACCCATCCGACGACAGCTCTTAAGCCATGACAAGCCTGCAAATGACATTGTTTTCAAAACCACCTCACCATTCCTACACTATGGTAGTGTTCCAAAGTTTGTTGGCAGCATTTCTTGCCCTTTTTAGGTTGGCAGACTGGAAATATGTGTGTTGACTTAATGTCGAATATGGAGTTTGTGTATTGGAGGTTTACATGTTTCTTTTGCTGAATCCATTGCGTGACTGTATGCCGGCCTTTGCTTTTGCGGGGATTTATCAAAGGTCTTAGTTCAGTTAATTTAGCCTGTGGTTTCATATACCAGGTATTTCTGTGACACCCTGTGTTCTATCCTCTTCCATTCTTACGGGTTCTTCCAATTAAGCAAAATGAAGATTAGACTAATTAAGAGAATCAGCTCCTCTCTCAAAGCTTTCCCTACTACAAGTATAGTGCCTTTGTTTCAGTATTTTTCGTTATTATCTATCTCATGCTGATGATTTTTTTCCCAGCAAAAAAAGAAAAAAGAAGAAGAAGGTGCTGTTGGTTAAGAATGAAATCCTGCCATAGTAGATACCGTCTTGATGCTTGTTTGTTCAGGTTCCATCAGATATTGGATGTTTGCTTTGCTTCTAGATTTATCAGCTGTACTAGGGTATTATTTGGCTCAAAAATGTTCATGGCGATAGCATGCTTGCAAGTAAATTGTATATTCCAATTGCAATATGTAGTTAAATTGGAAAATAGTTTCTGCATAATTCCTTGGAACCATTTAGAGCAATATAGATGCAGGTAGTTTAAGGAAACTTGTTCCAGGACTTCAATGGCTCATTCAGGATTGTAATCGGTCTTTCTCCTGGGTGCCCACTCAGAAACCAGTCATAATACTTTCCCCCCCTTTCTACAGAATAGTAATAGTCTCCTCATTCAATCTGTGGAGGTTTCCATTCCTAACTTCATCAGTCTTAAATTGGCAACTTATAACATTAAACTCGTGTTCCCTTTTTTTGTTTCTTCCTTTTGGATGGTGACTAAATAGTTGTTTTGTTGGTTTCATTTTTGTGCGCGAGAGTTTATCATGAGTATGAATTAATGGGGCCAATGTGACTGTTTAGATGACAATAGGTGCCTGAGCTGCACCATCTTTTCTCCTCTGAGTTCCTAGGATATCATATGTTCTGAGAAAGAGCAGCAACTCGTTGTAGCAAACGACAATGGTAACAAATGCTCTAACTAACGAGTGTATTTGCAGGAACAGAATATTGAAAATGGCAAAGCAGAAACCTCAAAGGAGCTGGCTCCTAATCTCGATAAATCCTCCAAGACAAGGCAAGTGAATTGGAAATATTGATGTGTTGAGTTAAGTGGTTGGCACAATGCTTCATTGCTGCTTAACCTGTGAATTTGTTTTGAGTTTCCTTGTGGATGATTTGCAGGTTCCACCTCCAATTTTGTGAGTCCCCCAGGAAGCGGAGGACGGGAGGCTCATCTGTTGTACTTATCAAAGGCATTCCCACAGTCAAGAGCAAGAAAGCAAAATTGTCCAAGAGTCATATCAAGCCTTCCTAATGCAAATTGTAAGGCTTGATAAAACTGCATAGCTAGAATTGGGTAGTGGGAATGCTTTTTTTAATTATAGATTGCAATTGGATAGTGAAGATTACCATGTAAGGCTCAATTCAAATGTAAGCAGAGTGAACTCATTTAAATTTTTTTTTTTAATTTTTGGGGAGGTCTCTAGATTGGCGGTATATCCCGTGAAATTGTCTGTGCCGACTCCAAAGCGGTAGTAGCTTTGTCTTTAGAAATTGTTTTGAAGAACTAGAAACATTGAAATTGTTTTGAAGAACTAGAAACATTGTATCTTCAGGCAAAATTTACTGTAAAGATCCCTCTTGTTCGAGTAAATTAACATGCATCACAAATTGCTATCATGGTTGAGGCATTGTTCACACTTGAAGGCGACAAGAATGGTGTGTAATTGAGAATTCTGATCTGGTCAGTGTCCACTTGCCGATTACCATCATCGATCGAAATGATCTGCTGGTCAGTCAGATGTGATTGTACTTTGCAGATGGCAATGTCTTCCTTTTGATGAATGATGCTGTTAGGTGCTCTATCGGTAGTGTCTCAACATGAAGCGTACGACCAAGTCCCTTCAGGTAAACTAGCAAAGACGCGATTTTCATGCCCCTGATTTTGTAATTTTAATCAGCGAATATGTTTTCTACATTGCGATTCGATTTTACATTCCTTGAATGTATCATCTGATTGTTGTGAGAACTTGAGCACATATTTGAGCTGGTGTTTGATTTAAACAAGATTGTGGTTTATGTTTGAAGGGATAAAGGCATCTTCAGTTTAATGTTAAGACAAGTCCCAAATTATTTTTTGTGGGTCCAATTTGGTCCTTGAATTATATGATTTTTGTTCAAGTTAGTCTTCTGTCAAAATATGGACGGAAATGCGCACGTGACAAACTGCAATTGCATTGCTAATGCGATATAGACGGCGGACTTAACGAATGCATTCCCTAATTTTAAGTATCGGTGTTCGCACGCTCTGCACCTCAGATTCCCTCAGTATCTTTGTTTTTCCTTGTGAGTAGGAATACCTTCTAATAGTTTTATATCTTTGTGATTTCGAGATCCGGACGAGGATCGAGATGGAGCCTTCTAAGAACATGCTCAGATCCATACTAGGTTTTTTTTTTGACCACTATCTAGAATATTTTTTGAGTATGGAAATAAGGAAAGAAAATTAAAACGAAAGATTAGAAACCCTAGAGAGAGAAAGACGGGAGAAGTGAGGGGGAAGCTGGTGGCGCCACCCACGAACTGGCGAGGGGCCAGCATCCCTTGTCGGCCTTAAGCTAACTCGGTGAGGTTGCCGCCACCTTTGACACTGATCATACAAGCCTAGAGAGAGAGAGAGAGAGAGAGTGAGTGAGTTTGGGCGAGGGGTGGCACCCCTTGCTAATCACCTAGGTGGCATTATTTATTATGAAATTAAAATGATTATTGTATTAATGAATAAAACTAGTCATTTATATAAATAGTTAGCGTGGTATTCACAAGAGTAAGTTATTGATCATGGTACAATATATTAAATTACGGCTCCGTTCGTCTCGTGAAATATAAATAATTTTAAAAAAAATATTTTTTTAAAAATGATTGATTGCATGCTCGTGAAAGTGAAAAAAATATTTACATCGTCCACGAAAATATATATAAATAAATCGTTATATATTAAATAGTCATTTCAAACGATATAAATATTTTAGGAAAATATTTATCAAATTTTTTAGTTTCGAAAATTTTCCAAACGGAGCCGGAAAAGACCATTAAACTATTTAGGTGAGATACGATGAGACCAGTTCGTGGTCGGATCTGGGCAAGTTGTTCCCATACAGGTGCTGCTCAAAGTTCTGAAAAACACCCGCCATTAGCTCCATAACCCTCTATTATCATCTCCATCCATCCATCCTTCATTCTCTCTCTCTCTCTCTCTCTCTCTCTGTCTCGCTCGAGCTGATGTTGACGAGTCCTCGACCTCCTCCTGCTTTCTTCCTCCCCTCGCAGCGCTCGCCACCTTCAGCTTCAGCCCCTCGCTCCGCAACATTCTCTTCCCCCAGGTCGACCCTTTTGCTGAATTCGAGCCAAACATCAAGAATCGGATCGAGGGCGCCGCTACTTCACGTGCGATGCCGCCGCGTCAACTCATCACCTGATATCGAGTTCGACCCGGGTGAGTGGCTCTCAGAGACAAATTATCAAACAGTTGATGTGCTTGAACCCAATTTGAATACTTGATCGAACTCCTTGTTAAAGTCTTGCCTTTTCAGGGGCGTTCTATGTGTTGTTTCGAGAACTCGGGCTCAGCGAGAAAGAGACCGAATCTCTCGTGACCAGGGACCCGGATTTGAGGCTGAAATCTGTCGGTTCGTTGCGGGCTCGGGTCGCCTCTTTGAAATCTGTCGGAATCAGTGGCCTTGAGCTCTGCCATTTGGTTGCGAAATGCCCTTCTGTGTTGGCAGCAGATGAGATTGATCCCTTGGTACAATTCGTGCGCGACGATTTAGATGGGCAGGTTGACCCAGCGCAGCTCAAACGTCTCTTTATGTCGACAGAGCCGCGGTTCCTAGTCGGATTCGAGGGAAAGGTTAATTTGCTGATTGACGGTGGGATTCCTAGAGAAAAGATTGTTCATGTTCTCAACAATGTCAATTTGACAAAGGCTTTGTCTCTTAAGCCGGTTGAAGAAATTGAAAGGCTTGTTAAATTCTTGAGCCGCTATGGTGGGGTTGATTTGATTGTGAGGCATCCCCCCATTCTTAACTTTGACATGGATAGCCAGTTGATTCCGAGAGTGGAGTTTCTCCTAGAACTTAGCGGAGGAGATGAGGATGCCACCGGGGCAGTGCTGCGCAAACTGCCGACCTTTTTGAAATACCGTGTGGAACACGTGGAAAGCCATGTAGAGTTCTTGAGGTCATTTGCAGGATTAGATGATCAAGAAATATTCAGGATCATTCTCGTGTTTCCTAACATTGTTAGCGCGAGCAAGGAGAGGAAATTGCGTCCCAGAATTAGTTTTCTCAAAGAATGTGGACTGAACTCCAGTGAGATTTTCAAGTTCTTAACAAAAGCCCCTTTGTTTTTGGGTCTATCTTTTGAGGGGAACATTGCTTATAAGCTTGGTCTTTTGGTGAAAATTGGTTACAAGTACAGAACGAAGGAATTCGCAGCTGCAATAGGCGCTGTGTCTAGGACAAGTTGTGAGAATATGCAGAAGGTGATCGAGCTCTTCTTGAGTTATGGGTTTTCTTGTAAAGACGTGCTTCTCATGAGTAAGAAGCATCCTCAGATACTTCAATACAATCCTGATTCTCTGGAGGAGAAAGTGGAATATTTGGTAGGGGAGATGGGACGCGACCTTGACGAGCTATTGGATTTCCCTGCTTTCCTTGGTTACAAACTGGATACTAGAATTAAGCATAGGTATGAGGTGAAGAAGAAGATTATAGGTGAAGGAATGTCGATCAACAAGCTGCTCAGTGTTTCGTCTGAGAGATTTGCAAAGAAGAAGCTAGAAGAGCTGGTGCACAAAGCCTAAAATGTAAAGGGGTTGCTAAGTTTCATCCGCAGAAAGTCATGGCCAAATTGATGGAAATTGTACTGATTTTTCTCAAAGCTTTATGAGTTCAAGGTTTTGCCCTTTTTTTGGCAGGTAAAATTCTGGCTGTGACTTCCTTAGGTGAAGATAGAAAGTCATCTTTTTCATCCCTAAACCTGCAAAGCCATTATGAAATGACTTGAGTATGCTCCATTTTAAGGTTAAAGCAACAAGAAAAGTGGCTGATCTTTGTATTTGTGTAACTGTCAATTACAAAGGAATCCACCTTGAATTGATAGCAATGTTTTTTTGGTCGCTCTCGCAATTTTCTGTTCTTAGTCCTCAAATCTTGGAAAACGTGATCTGACATTGAAAACGATTTTGTGAATGTGCATGAGGCATCAAGACATGGTTGCCCTTGTTATGCAATTCAGATAGATTTCCTGATTGGAATGGTCAGAATCGATGAGTTAATTTGATTAAATTACATCATTTTTGTAAATGTTAGGGATAATGACACAAATGATTAATCAACTTTGACTCAATGTGTAATATTGTCTTTAAACTTTTAACTTGTCCAATGTGGTCTCTGGACTTTTGATACATGTTCAATTTAGTCTCTGAATTATATGAAAATGTTCAACGTTCAATGTAGACTACATTGAGCATTTTCATATAGTTTACTAAGTTTATGAACTAAATTGAACATGTACCAAAAGTTTAGGGACTATATTGAACAAATTAAAAGTTCAGGAACCACATTGCATATTGGATAAAAGTTCAAGGACCACATTGAACAAATTAAAAGTTTAGGGATCATATTGCACATTGAGCCAAAGTTCATAGACTATTTATGTCATTTTTCTTAAATGTTATGACTGTGAGTTTAGGATTACCTTACAGGACATTTTCATCATCAACAAAACCGAGGATAAATTATCCTCAAGATATCAGCAAAGGCGTGGCATTCATGCTAGTAGGTGCCATTGGCAACTTCATTCGTTCTCCTATTCGACTTGACACAGGTTAGGCTTTAGAATGGCGAATTGCTGGACAACTTAAGATGAAGTAGCCAATTGCAAGATAAATTAAGATGAGGTAGCCATATTGCTTTGACGGTGGAACATAACCATGGCAAAATAAGAAATCCTGTATCCGAGATTGTAGTGACTGAATTACGCGAACTCATCATTTTCAGGTTCGGACATTGATATTTTTACTATGTGGGCTCATTCTGCTGCGTTTCTTAAACATTATTTTACGTTAGGTAATCCTGCATTACAACAATACCTTCTACAAATAAAGTGTCATTGGATAAGAAATAAGAACAAAATACTCCGACACATGCTAACATGGATTTATGGTACTGCGCCAAAACTGATGTACTATATCGTGACATGAAGAAGAATTTTGAGGCAAGCTAGTTCTTATTTTTGATCTTGTTCCTCAAACCTATACGTCAATTTTCCTATGATCGCGACTCGTGCGGTGAAGAAAGAAGACGGATAAGAAGGGACGAGGGAAAAAACAAAGAAGAAAATAAGAAGAAAGATAGTGCATCAGAAGGAAGTGATGGGGAGGGATTTGTTTGTCGATGGGATGGCGGAAGAAACGAGGAGAAGAGGAGATAGAAAGTTCATATGTGAACCGTGAAGAAACATCTTTTGAATTTTTTAATGGGTGTAAATTTCCAAGATGCGCTGTATAAGTAGGTGATTGAACTTCAGTTTGGATAACAGACCGAAAAAAAAATAAAAGGAACTTCCGTTTGGATCCACCCCTTTAATTTCTTGACTTGAGTGCATTTGTTACGTTGACTGACTTGGGCTTCTCTATAGGAGAAGGCGACGCCAAGTCTCCAATCAAACGAGGCTCGTTCAATTTTCTTTCCATCTTTTTATATTGCGCATCCTCCATACACACCAAGCAATTCTTGACCAATTTCTCTTTGCCCAAAGACAAACGGAGGCATGATTAGTGCTCTAAGCTCCAAGAATATTTGTCTAAGTATTGCTACTCTATATTTCTAGCGATGACTAGCAATGTCGAGCCGAATGATTGACGGTGTGCTTCATCCTATCATGATATTCGCAATATAAGGTACCCATTTCGATTAAAGAGTGATGCCAAAAGATGCAATGTCTCCAAATACGAACTGATTTGTGAAGATAATTGCACTATTCTACACTTTTGCTATCAATTATTCCGACCACCATATCAGATTGGTCGATGATGGGATGCAAAAGGACAACCGCTCGTCTCTTCCCCATCATTCATGGGTGTTGTATAACTTCAAGAACTTTTCCGATCCATACAACCCATACTACATGTATGGCGAAGGTACATTGGTCATCGTGAACTACTCAAAACCTGTTAGTTCTCCATTATACATTGGTACCGGTTCATGCATTGAGGGGTTGTATTCTTCCAACACAACATCGAATTGGAATTTGTATGCTTTGCTCAATCCAACAAGATCGGATGTTAGGGATTTTCTGTCCACGCATATTACCAATGGTCACCTCACATGACGTATTCATCGTCAACAAATCGAGGATAATAACCCACAAGAGATCTGCAAAGGAGTGGCATTTATGCATTATAGGTGCCATTGGCAACTTCATTCTTTCTCCTATGCGACTCAACACATGTTAGGCTTTGAAATAGCAAATTGCAAGACACCTTAAAATGAAGTAGCTATACTGCTTTGATGGAGGAATATAGCCATGGCAAGGTAAGAAATCCTGTATTTGAGATTGCATTGATCATTGAGTTATGCAAAACTCATCATGTCCAGGTCTGGACATTGATATTCTTAGTGCGTGATGATGTCATTCTACAGCATTTGTTTAAGTATTTTCCTTTGTTCGGTAATCCTACATTGCTTTCTACGTTCTATAAATACATGTTATTGGAAAAGAAATAAGAACAAATTATTTCGATACATGCCAACGTACTGCGTTAAAATTGATCTATCATGTGGTGACACGAAGAAAAACTAATTTTCAAAATTGTAAATTTTCTGAAAGAGTGAATTGGATGAAAAATGAAAAATTTTCTTCGACCACCTCCTTTTTCCTCTTTCCTCCCTCTCCCGAGCAAATCATTAAAATAGTATCACAAATCATGTCCCGCTCCTGTGCTAATGTTTACAAATAACCGTGCAACTTTCTTGATATTCCCAGATAAAAGATGGAGTTCGAATCATCTTATGCCCATTTAATGAGTCCTTCACGAATTCTCATCGGATTTCAGTCTAAGAAAGTTATAGTCATTGCAGATTATTGTATCGTAATTTGAGCGTTGAAAAAACATAAGAAATCATTGTAGACAAGAACAAGAACAAATTGTCGGACTTATCTAACAAGCAACGGAGCTGTTGTTGCATTCAAAAGAACATAAAGAGTTGACTTACATAACACGGTTTCATGGTCCTGCATCAAAACTGTCGTGACATGGAGGACGAGAAGTTTTATGGCAAGCTAGTTTCTGTTTATGAACTTGTTCCTCGAAACTATACGCCAAGAAGAAGGGAGAAGGAAACAAACGAAGAAGAAAAAACAAAGATGATGGGGTGATGGGGAGAGAGCGAGAGATGGATTTGTTTGTTAATGGATGTGGACCCAACAATTACGTGGAGAAAGAAAAGATCAAATGTATAAAACAACGTTCCGAATTTTCTACAAAAGTGATTAAAGGGGGGTCTTAATCCCGCCGGCCAAATTGAACTTCAGCTCACCTCTATAATTTCTTGACATTGAGTGCATTTGTTCCAAGTCTCCAATCAAACAAGGTAGATCCAATCTTCTTTCAATCTTTTCATATATACACCAAGCAATTCCTTACCGATTTCTCCTTGCCCAAAGACGAACAGAGACATGATTAATGCTTCCAGCAACACGAATATCTATGAAGTGTTGCAGCTCCTTCTTGTTCTATTGCAAGCGATGACTAGCAATGCCTTTCGAAGCAATCCACGGTGCGTCGCTTCATCCTGTGGTGACATTCGCAATATAAGCTACCCATTTCGATTGAAGAGTGATCCAAAGGGATGCGGAAACCGGAAGAATGAGCTGGTTTGTGAAGATAATCGTACTGTTTTGTACTTCAGTGATAGTCGATTATATGTGCAGTCTATCAATTATTCCGCTAACCAAATTAGATTGGTTGACGATGGGCTGCAAAAAGATAACTGCTCGTCTCTCCCCCGTCATTCATGGGTGCCGCAAAACTTTGTGAACGAGTTCGATCCAAATAAACCGTACTTCATCTACAACTATCTTACATTGGTCATTGTGAACTGCTCGAAGCAGGTTAGTTCTCCATCCTACATCGCTACCGGTCCATGCATTGAGGGGTCGTATTATTCCAACGCATCATCGAATTACAACTTGTATGCTTTGGTCAATCCAAAAGCATCGGATGTTAGGGATTTTTGCACCATTAGCAGGAGCACGTGGGTATCGGATGATTTTGGGATTAATATTAGCTCCTACAACTACGAGCTAATCCATAACATCATGGCCGATGGATTTGTTCTCTACTTTAATCTACGGAAGACAGCTTTCTTTTGCTCAGTTGATTTCTTATTCTTCTTCGGAGGTCCGGGTTGCATATCCAACTGGGAGTACAATGGCGGTAAGCAGTGGTTGGCAATGAAATTTTACCAGAATTTTGCATGATTATGTACTCTTTTCACTTGTTACTTTCTCTTCAAAACTGTATAATGAAAGAAATATTTAAAACCAAGAAAATAAAAATCATATTGAAATCAAACAGTATGAGTTGCAAGATTTGCGAAAGAATAAAAAAGTGATCGGAGAAGTCAACCAAACAAACCCGTCATGAGCTACAAACTAGGTCATAATTCCTTCCACAGAAGGGCTGGAACTCTCGTTGTAAAAAATTTAAAAAAATAAAAAAAGGATTATTTTGAATTATATTGATATATTGATAGCAGGAACAAAAATTATTAATTAAAAAAATCACTATTTCTTTATATTTGTTGATTGCTAAAAAAGCAAAATGAGTTTTTTGTATCGTTTACGTATAACGAAGCTTATTTTTTCTATTTATTTGCGAATGCACGCATCGCATTTCTCATATTCTATTGGACAAAATTCAATGTCGACAAAGTAGCTTGATATCACTTTGTTTCCTCGTGAGTTTTGTTATCCAAACTTCTTTTCCTTCAATTAATTTTCACACCATTCATTCCTTCCACAGGTGTCCTAGATGATATTGCATATTGGACAACTTTGGATATTATGATACTATTAGGTAAGCCGCAATGATTTGTTTTTAAAGTAATTAAAAAATCACTTATTCTAACATATCAAAATTTTTCCTCAGTGAATTTTTGTATAGTGAAATTCGTGATCGGAACACCATTTGTCGCGATATTTCTAATCTACAAGTACAAAAGAAGGCACTTGGCAATGGACAAGGACATCGAAGAATTTTTGCAAGCTCACAACAACTTTTTCCCAATAAGGTACTCTTACTCGAATCTTAAGAAGATCACCAAAAATTTCAAGTATAAACTAGGTGAAGGTGGGTATGGTTCTGTGTACAAAGGAATGCTCCGAAGCGGCAATGAAGTGGCCATCAAGATTTTAAAACAGTCCAAGGCCCATGGCCAAGATTTTATCAGTGAAGTGTCTACTATTGGAAGAATTCACCATGTTAATGTAGTGCAACTCATCGGTTTTTGCTTTGAAGGCTCGAAACAAGCTCTCGTGTATGATCTCATGTCAAATGGATCTTTGGATAAGCACATTTTTAGTGAGGAAGGTGATAAGTTTCTTGATTACAAGAAAATATATGAGATCGCTCTTGGGGTAGCGAGGGGGATTGAATATTTACATCACGGGTGTGACATGCAAATACTGCACTTTGATATCAAGCCTCACAACATTCTTTTAGATAAGAATTTCACTCCAAAAGTTTCTGACTTTGGACTTGCGAGACTTTATCCCATGAATCATAGCACAGTTTCATTAACTGCTGCAAGAGGAACCTTGGGATATATGGCGCCCGAGTTATTCTACAAAAGCATTGGCGGCGTATCTTATAAAGCGGATGTCTATAGCTTCGGGATGATGCTCATGGAAATGGCAGGTAGAAGGAAAAACGTAAATGCAAATGCGGACCGCTCAAGCCAAATTTATTTTCCGCTGTGGGTGTACGACCAAGTCAATGAAGGAGAAAGTGTTGAAATGGAAGAAGTTGTAGAAGAAGAAAGGGAGGTGATAAAAAAGATGATATTAGTTGCGCTTTGGTGTATACAATTAATCCCTGACCATCGGCCTCCAATGAACAAAGTCTTGCAAATGCTTGAAGGAGATATGGGTAATATTCAAATGCCTCCAAAACCGCTTATTTATCCACCAGATGAGCCAGTTGACAATAACAAAGCCGAGATGGAATTAGAAACATTCGCACCTTCATCAAGCGCTCCCATAATTTCAGCTAGTTTTCCATTTGGGAGATACCAATGATGTTTAGAGGATTTGATAGGAAAAGCTTTGTTCCCCACAATATAGTATTATGTTGGGAGGGGGTTGAGCTAGTTTGAGCTAGTTTAGCTTGCCAGTGATTTTTTTTTTGGTGTCTTCTTCTAGCTCTTAGGTTACTGTCGTGTTATTGTACTTCATGTAAAGTTTCACTCTCTTGCGTCCTCCAACACCGATGACATGTTGGCTTCGGAATAAAATGCAACAGGTGAATCACGCATAACGTATCTTGTTCTGCTTGGATTGCATTAGAGGGGAGTCATGGAATTGAAAGGTGAGCCATTGAGCGCCACTGATGAGACCCAAACCTGACCAATAACAAACGAATTCGATAATTTTAAGGATTAATCTGCACTTTTTGAAGATAGAGTAAATTGCATTTTAAACAAATTAAGAAAACCCAGTAGTCATGCTTTTGATAGGGATAAAACCACTCCCTTGATTCTTCGTAAACTAAATTTGTAGGATCGACCAAACGAACGATTTTAGCGTTTGTTAATGGCTATCCCTTTTACATTTCTTGTTTCCCGAGTGTGCTCTTGTTATGGAACGATGAGTCTCTCTGTCTTCTCTTTACCGTCCAATATCAACCTCTCTCCTTCCCAGCTCGAGTTTGACTCGATGATTCTCAACTCGGACGTCAGTCTCTACTCGAAATCTAATGACTGGGCTCAGGCGGAGAGGATATTTATGGACATGGGTAATAAAAGAGACTTGGTTTCTTGGAGTTCCATGATCTCTCGCTATGCCAATAATCAAATGGAGTTTGAAGCGGTCGAAACTTTCGTTCATATGCTTAAAGATGGTTTTTTCCCTAACGATTATTGTTTCGTGGAGGTTATTCGGGCTTGTTTGGCTCCGGAGAATGCATCAATTGGTGATACAATTTTTGGGTTTATAATCAAAAGTGGTTACGTTGATTCTGATATGTCTGTTGGGTGTGCATTAATTGACATGTTTGCAAAGGGTAGTGTTGATTTTGTTTCAGCTCGTAAGGTGTTCGAGAAAATTTCCGAGAGGAATGTGGCTGCTTGGATTTTGATAATGACAAGATGTACTCAGTTGGCTAGTCCAAAGATAGCTGCTGATTTGTTTCTGGATATGCTTGTGAGTGAGACTGTGGCTAATAGATTTACGCTCAAAGCTGTTTTGTCGAAATGTTCGAAGTGTGAGTTGCAATCGTTGGGGGTGCAGTTGCATTGCTGGTGTTATACGGTCTGGATTGGCTTCGGATTTGTGTTGGATGCTGCTTGGTGGACATGTACGCGAAGTGTGTAGCTAGCGGATCGCTTCATGATTTTAGAAAGGTGTTTGATCGGATGCAAGATCATAACGTGATGTCTTAGACAACGATAATCACGGGATATCCGCAGACTGAAGAGAATGAGGAGTATCAAACTCTTTTCGGGAAAAAGGTCCAGTGAGGCCAAACCGTTTTGCATTTGCTAGTGTTCTCAAGGCATGTGGAAGTACTAGTGATGTAGATATGGGGATATAAATATACATGCTAGCTATAAAATTGGGCTTTGCTGGTGATATTTGTGTGGGTAATTCTCTTATTAGTATGTATTCTAGGCCGGGCCACGTGGAAGACGCTTAGAGTGTTTAAGAATCTTTGCATATGCGGAGATTGTCATTCTGCCATCAAGTATATCTCCGTGGCAACCAGAAGATCTATAGTCGCAAGGGATGCAAACTGGTTCCACCATTTATTGATGGAACATGCTTATGCAATGAGTACTGCTGAGGATGCTTCTTAAATTGTCTCATTCATTGTGTAAATTGAATCTCCGTTTTTTTTATTTTTATTTTTCCCCCTTATTCTTATGTTACTTGAACCGGGATTCTATTATGCCCCTAGCAAGTCCAACAATGTAAATATCACGTCCTGAAATGTATATGGATTTTGTACTCCTACTGTCAAAATACCAAGCAGAAGGCCTCAAATGGATCTCGCAAACTTTCAGTAAATATGATTCATGGAATCCAAACAGTCACGCTTTTGCCTTTGGGATTTTCCTGGAGCGGGCAGTTTTCGAATACTAGATGTTGATGTTCTGTTCTATACCAGAGCATTCCTAGTATGCAGTCCTGATGCCCTATATTTCGTTCATTGGCTGAATATTCCGCATGATTATTGTTTTGGAAAGTTTGCTTGTAATGCCTCCAACTTTTGGTTAGTCTACATTTTTGGATGTGGCGATTTCTTTTGCTTTTATATCTTCAAGTTCAACTATGCGAGTATATGCCATTTGTTGCTAGAACATTTACCAGACTGTTGCAGAGTGGCTAAATTTAGGAAATTGGTGATTGAGAAGAAACAAGAGCAACTTTCGTGAGGGAACAACGGTTTGAAACCGAGAAGCATGATCCTTGAGTGGTTCATGCAGTGATCAAGCATTCGCAAGTATTGCATCTAGTTGCCAGGGAGGAAAATGTCGTCCGTCAGCATGGGGTGGGGTATCGCTCCTGATGTACATGTAAGCTCCATATTGTTCCTCTGCAAGGCTCCTCCTATACAGAATTGCACTTATCAATTTTCAATGAGCAAACGACTGCATATAATTTAAAGGTTTTCGACTAGAATACGCACTGTAACTATCATCTTGTTTCCGGCAATGTGTTTTATTAGTGGTAGCGATCATGACTACCTTTTTTGTTGGCATAGAGTTTAAATTTTCTTATTTTTCTTAATTAGTTCCTTAATTAGTCACTTAACTAATAATTCAAGAGACACTCTTTTGACAACTTCCTTGAAAATCAGTGTGTATTGATAGCAAGCATTGACACCTGAATTTTACGGATTAATTTTTTTTTCAGACACACACTAATTGAATATGCATTTTTCTTATAAAAAGAATGTTAATAAATAAATATAGAATGGAGAATAAAAATACAATAAACAATAAAAAAAAAAAACAAATAACGATCAGTGAAAGATCCATCTATGGAGTCCGGCCACATTCATTCCATTTGAGCTTAACGCAATCCAGCCCATCACCTCAAACTGGTGAAATCCAATCCCGTTAAGCCCATCAAGCACGGTAGCTCAGACGACGACGACAATCCACCATCTCCAACTCGAATCTGGATTTCAGTTACAGGACTGAGTTTGTTTTTAATGAAGTCATCTTCTTCTCCGCAAGCTCAGCCTCCGTAGACGAAGCTCTCAAGCTCAATAGTAGGGATTGATGATCCACGGATCAAGCTCATCGCACACCCAAAAGCTTCATTAGTCTCCCTTTCTCCTGCAACATTTAGGGGATGACGTCTGAGGCGTTCTCAGCCCGCTGATATCCCTTTTCAAGGGCGTTCTATGTGTTATTTCAAGAACACGGGCTGGGCTCAACGAGAAAGAGACCGAATCTCTCGTGACCAGGGACACGGATTTGAGGCTGAAATCCATCGGTTCGTAGCGGTCTCGGGTCGCCTCTTTGAAAGCTGTTGGAATCAGTGGCCTTGAGCTCTGCCATTTGGTTGCGAAATGCCCTTCTGTGTCGGCAGCAGATGAGATTGATCCCTCAGTACAATTCGTGCGGGACGATTTAGATGGAAAGGTTGACCCGACGCAGCTCAAGCGTCTCTTTATGTCGACAGAGCCCCGGTTCCTAGTCGGATTCGAGGACAAGGTTAATTTGCTGATTGACCGTGGAATTTCTAGAGAAAAGATTGTTCATGTTCTCAACAATGTGAATTTAACGAAGGCTTTGTCTCTTAAGCCGTTTGAAGAAATTGAAAGGCTCATTAATTTCTTGTGCCGCTATGGTGATGAGGTTGATTTGATCGTGAGGCATCCCCCCATTCTTAACTTTGACATGGATAGCCAATTGATTCCAAGAGTGGAGTTTCTCCTAGAACTTAGCGGAGGAGATGAGGATGCCACCGGGGCAGTGTTGCGCAAACTGCCTACCTTTTTGAAATACCGCGTGGAACACTTGGAAAGCCACGCAGAGTTCTTGAGGTCATTTGCGGGATTAGATGGTCAAGAAATATTCAGGATCATACTCGTGTTTCCTAACATTGTTAGCACGAGCAAGGAGAGGAAATTCTGTCCCAAAATTAGTTTTCTCAAAGAATGTGGACTGAACTCAAGTTATATTTCTGCAGATTCTTGTATCGTGATTTTAATATATTTGAGAGTCGAAAAAATATAAGAAACCATTGCAGACAAGAATAAATCGTCGGACTTATCTACCAAGCCACGAAATAAGTGTTCCATTCAAATGAACAAAATCAACGGACTTATATAAAATGGATTTATGGTACTGCGTCAAAACTAACGTACTATGTCGTGACATGAAGCAGAAGTTTTGAGGCAAGCTAGTTTTTATTTTTGACCTTATTCCTCAAAACTATGCATGAATTTTCCTATGGTCGTGATTCGTGGGGCGAAGAAAGAAGATGGAGAAGAAGAAGGGAGGAGGTAAAAAACGAAGAGGAAAATAAGAGGAAAGGGGGGAAGAGACAGAGAGATGGATTTGTTTGTTGAGTTGACGGGATGTGGAACCAATAATCACGGAAGAGAGTGGAAGAAACTTTTGAATTTTCAATGGGTGTAAATTTCCAAGATGTACTGCATACGTCGGTCATGAAATGGGTGACTTATATTGACTCCAAAGTCTCCGATCTTTTAGTCAATAGACAATGTTAAAAGCGTATCTCGGAATGTATCAATTAAGATTTTATTAATTTATCTTTCAAGAGTGAGAAAAAAAAAGCCCATTTGATTAAGGTAATATTTCGGTCACTTGCTAATAGGAACGTACATAAGTCCTATTGTCTGTTCATAGTCGCTATTGTTGACCTTCTTGACGAGTGCCGTGGAGGACGCGCTAATGTAATTCTATCAATGTTACACTCTTTTCTTAGCTAAAAAACTCTTTTCTTAGCTAAAAAAGTAAGGGCTCCGTAAGACACGGCAAAAAGTCTTGTCACTAATTAAATCTAATAGTGCGAAATCATGATTCTCGTGGACTTCCAAAAAG